TAGGTAAAGGTATTGACTTTATATTCTAGGGTTATAAAGTACTCGTCTGCAGCTTCAATATGATGTGCCCGTTTTCATATAACTTTTTTCCAAGATCGCGCCCAGCGGCCATCTTGACATTTTCATCTGTCAATTTTACTCTAAAATGTGGTATCCATGCATCAATTTCATTACCTCAAGTTTTAATTTTTTTAATTGATCCGTTCAAAAAATCAAAGGGGAGGGGGACATTAAAGAAAATCACTGTATGTTACAGAGACCCCATAGTAGAACATGTCTAGGGTATCGCCTTGCAAAAAATTAGGGGACTGCTGTGCCTATAAGGGTGACTGGTCAAAACTGAAAAAAATTCGCAAAGCCCAAACGAGGAATTGTGCCAGCAAAAAAGTCATACATATTGTAGGGGCTCCATAACGTTATATATTCATATGAGTTTGTTGGTGGCACCATTCTTCGTTTGGGTTCCGCAGTCTTTTTTCCATTTTAGAACCCTTATTGGTGATTTTTTCCAAAGCTATATACTCTAGATACGTACTACTATAGCGCTTCTACAACATTAGGTGGCTGAGTCGTAATGTGTACGATATAGAAACGCGAGAAGTAGGCAATATGTATCTTAGAAGGAGTGCGCTGATGGCAACGCGTCAAGCGGCAGCTGCGTCCGTGGCCGCGTTACTCGGGTTGCTAGGCAACGAGGTGCTTTTACCTCTTTTCAACACACGTATTGCATGCTTCTCGCGTTTCTCTCTCGCACACATTACGACGTCAGTGGTATATTGATACATATGACTTTGTTGGTTGCACGATTCTGTGTTTGAGGTAGATATGTATGAACTCCTAGAGGATTTCTACAACGTATTTTTGTGCATTATTAGAAAGTGATATCTTTGCAAACAACCGATTTTTGTGACCAGTCACCTTTGATATCTTAAGACGTGGTCGAGATTATACATATATGAGACTTTTGAGTAAACTTTTAGAATGGCAAAATAAAGGTTTCTAGAAATTTACAGCCTACTATCTCTCATGTTATGGCTTAATTAATTGGACTATGTACTAAAGTATATTGTTCTTCATTAGAACGTACACGCACCACATATATCTTAAATCCTATGCCTTTGTAAAATGTAAAATTTAAAAGTATCCCAGTTCACAGTTTTTGACAACTTGCTTGATATTACATAATGATAGATTTTATTGATATGAATTTAAGTGAATAGAAAACGATGCAAACCATAGGTATTAGTATTAGTGGAAAATACTTGGCCGGTTCAATTTGTCCTAAAACTCAATGTGCGTCATTTTTCCATTGTCCCACGCGTCACGTGTCATCAAAATCACTTGAATTTGAGGTAAATTTATTTGCTTATTTTTCGAGTCCCAAAGTCCTTTTGTCTGTGTGTGTTGCGGAACAAAATTCAACGTAACACAAACAATCGCAAATTATTAGCATACGCAATATGGCGATTGAGATATTATCCACCTGTGTTGTACCAATGACCACAATGAACAACTCAAATGAAATTCCAAGTGAATAAAAAATATCTATGAACTGCCATGCATATTAACGCGGAATTGTTAAAGCGGTGTCAAAATGGTAAAAGACACATTTGTTAAATAAAAATGATATATGGATATATCTCTCTATATCTTTAAAAAACATCTATTCCCGATTTCTTTCCGCTATCTGTGAAGTGGAGGAAATCCAAGAGACTTCACCAGGTGGAAGTTATGCTCCACCTTGCATAAATCGCTTTGAAATTCTTAGATCACTGTCAGGCCACTGCATAACTACAAGCCCCTTCCCACTTCAGTTGGTCCACTTCAAGAATTGTACCAAAATATGCCTTTATAAACTAAACATGACGAAACTATTTACTTCTAAAACAATTTATTTTCTCAAAAACATTTTAGATACACTTTAGTCGTAAAAAATACATATTTGAAATCACTTAGACCTATAACTAATAGAACATCTGAACAAATAAACAATGTGCGAATAAATGCGCGAAATTAACAAAGCAACAATTGAAAGATTACCATTGGGTAACATCACCTTTATCTATTATTACGGCTGAAATTCTTTGGGGCATAGTATTAACTAAGCTTTGGCAAAAATTTGGTGCAAAACAATCCCATATTTCTTTAAGCTTTTGTCTAAGTTCGGTGATTGTACGAGCGGGATGTTGTCGTAGAACCTCTTTCATCTCGTGCCACAAAGTTTCAATAGGTGACAGATCTGGACTGCTAGAAACCCATTTCAAAAGTGGTACATTATTTTCTTCTATCCATTTTATAGCCTTTTCTCAGGTATGGCACGCTGCACCATCTTGCTGAAACAAAAAATCTTGGCCGGATGTCAAACATTCCTCCATCACTGGTAAAAGCGATTCTTCTAAAATTGCCAAATATTTGTTTGTATCCACATTTCCATCAATAAAATGAAGTTTTTCTACTCCTTTTGATGACATACTACCCCAGACCATAATGGATGCTGGAAATTTCACTTTTCTCTTCAGACAGTCAACATGGAATGCTTCATTTTTTTGCGAATAACTCTACTGCGACTGTCACCAACACAAACTTCGAATCGGGCCTCATCACTCCATTGTATTGCATACCATTGTTGAGGTGTCCATTGTCTATGTTCTTTAGCCCATCTAAGCCGATTTTTCTTTTGCAGTGGTGTTAATAGTGGCTTTTCTTTGGCCTATAAACAAGTTGTGCAACTTCAGGGTTTTTACTTCACTTTTTTTATAAGAAAACTTACCTTGCAAGTGCTAAATCTCAATTTATGGACCTCTCTATGAGTTGTGGACCTCGAAGTTCTCCTTCCAACAGCGTCACTCCACAGAGCACTTAATTGTAAATAACCAGTTACGTTATATCTTCTAACAATATTTCTCACACTGTACCGCGATAAGTCTAACAAAGTTGCAATTTCTGAGTTTGATTACCCAGAATTAAATTTAATTATCAGTAACGGAATTTTCTCACTAATAACCTTTCCTCTACCCATTTTGAAAACCTTAACTACCCAAAACTATTTTAAACGTATTCTGACAGCTGTGATTAATAAAAACAATTGTTATGGCTTTTATTTTTCACAGCCACCTATGCGTTATAGACTTATTTTGCATTGAAATGAAAATAGGTTGATATGCTGTAATTGCAACATGTGTCATTTTTATGCTGCAAATTTGATTAGGGAGTGATAAAGTTGGTGCTTTCTACTATATATTATCAAAATGTTCATTGCCAATATTTTAAGCCTATAACACCCTGCTACATTTTTATTATTTGTGTTTGATAAGAAAAAACTAAGATTTCAATAGTTGGGCCAACTGAAGTGGGAAGCGGCTCGTACTCATTGCGAATTACACATACGGTGCCATATTGGGTTCTACAGCGAAATACGTTTTTGGTTTGCAGAAGTAAAAATTGAAAGATTTTATATTCTTACGTTACTTTGTTATTCATTTTGGAATCTAATGAATTTCATATTAGATTACTGAATTGGTCTAGCTCTAAGAACCAACCGTGTTTCATTTCTGAGCCTAAACTTTATTTCAGTAATTTTGCAATTAAGTAAACAAAGCTAAGTTAGGGAGAGTTCTTCCATCATGGGCTAGGGAGATATGGTCAGTGGTTCACCTGACCGTCTGGGATGTCTGACGAAAACAGAATCATTTTAACCTTTTACCGAATATGTCATTCCAGTACAAAAATAAGACTAGTTCATCTCACAAAAACAGTAAGACTTACAAATCGCTATTTTGGATGTGAAATCTCTTACAGAAAAAAAAAGTCCTATTAGTGAAACAAAATCTGGGAACGAGTGTTCCAGTCGATACGCCGATTGATCTAGTGATAGTAAATGTGAAAAAGGTCGTGATTTAGTTAGATGACACTTGGTATTGTTTTGAATCTCAAAGGAAAAAAAGTTTTAGACATGTGAGTTCTTATTTCCCGGAAGAAATACATATGCTCACGAGATATGCGTTGGATTGACCAATAATTTATTATAATAAAAGTTTCATATGCCATACATGCGACAGGCGAGGATCCAGGGGGGGTCATGGGGGTCAAGGTCCCCCAGGCGAATTTAGTTCGACTACCAATTTTTAAAGTTCCAAATCTCTTAGGTAAATCTGTAATGCACACATATTAAATGGATGCCGTACTCGTATTTTCTACTAAACACTGGCAACACTGCATCCGTCAACGTTGATTTAACTGTAAGCTCATAGATGATAACACAAGACTGGTTGCCTATGGGGTCTCACCTTGATGTAAATAGGAAAAACTTCTTGGCGCTCTGAGCAAATATGATAAAAAATACTTTTTGACGGACCAGTGGCGGATTTAAGGAAAAGGGCCCGGTCGGCAATATGCACTGGGGGGGCAGTGATATGATCGAGGACAGACGGCAAATAGTGCGCACGATAACTGTTTTGAGAATAATATAAATTACTGCAATTATTGACAAATATGCGCATCGTAATTTTTTGGAGTAAATTAAACTTGATGATTCACTAGCAAACTTCTTGTGCATAACAGAGTTTAAAAGTTGTCACGGATGCTACCGATAAGTAAAGGGCGTCGAGTCAAATTTGGAGTGCACGCTATTAATAGAATTTGCATAAAATTATAAAAAAAAAACAAACATGATCGATAGTTGTTGTCATGTTTGCCGTGATTAATATTTCGTTGAATACAAACTTGGTGAATAACACTAAAATACGTTAAATAACGTGCATTACTACAGGGTATATACTGGGCACTATTTCCGCAAGTGATATTCTCCACATTTATCTCTACAGGCGTCCCTCGTTTTACGCGGGGGTAACGTTCTTTGAAAACACCGCGTAAAAAGAAACCGCGTATATCGAAACAAAAACATTTTATTACATAAACTTTTGTTAAATACATAATATACACAGATATGTTTGTACATATCATGTACGAGAACATTAAACGTTAATTTTTTAACAAAAGTATTAATTTTTAGATAAATAAGACGTAATCTTTGACTGTTTAGCTTCGTTGCGTAAATTCTTCTCAATTTCCTTGTATGGTGCCAATGCTGCAAAAACCTCTCGTTTAGATTTTAAACTTCTTTCCATTGTAGGATCTTCCCTGATTAACAGCTCGATGAGATCGTGTGCCTTGGTAAAACATTTATTAAGCGTTTTCAACGTCAACTCCTTTGGTGCCGGGACTAATTCATCATCTTCACCTTTTTCCTGAGCTTCATAATTGTTCTCCGTCAGTTTTATGAGTTCTCTTTCAGTGAGTTCAACATTAAGCGATTTAAATAGCTGATTTATATCGTCCATGTCATCGAATCCCTCTGCAGGTAATTACTTTCCTAAATCAGCAATTTCTTTAATTTCGTCTCTGATATCCGGCACCTTTGCATGAGACTTCACAATTTCTGGCCATAAGTTTTTCCAGCAGCCATTTAATGTCGAGTTTTTAAGTTCACCAATCGATTCTTTAATATTATGTAGGCAATCTGCAATTGTGTAATCCTTCCAATGTTTTTGTAGGGTCGCGTTCCAAGTTTTCTAACAGCATTTTAAACGTGCGTCGCTTGTAATAAGCTTTGTAGATGGCAATGATTACCTGATCAAGAGGCTGTAGGATTGATGTGGTGTTTCGTGGAACAAATTCTACTCGAATATTGGGATTTATTTCCTGTAAACGGGCGGCTGGGTGACCAGGGGCATTATCTATGAGTAATAACACCTTGAATTCAAGATTTTTTTACGTCAAATAACGTTTAACCTCTGGTATAAAACAGTTCTCAAACCAGTCTAAGAAAATGTCTCCCGTTACCCATACATGACCATTGGCACGCCAAAACAGAGGCAATTTATTTTTACCTTTGTTTTTTAAAGCCAATGACTTGTACACTAATAAAGGCTTAATCATACAATCCCCAGAAGCATTTGAACAAAGCAAAAGTGTGATACGATCCTTTGCTACTTTAAAGCCCTGTGCGGCCTTCTCCTCTTTTGATAAAAATGTACGGTTTGGCAACTGTTTCCAAAACAAGCCAATTTCGTCCGCGTTAAAAACCTGCTCAGGCTTAAAACCTTCTTCTTCAATGATTCTTAAAAGTTGTCCACGATATTCCCTACTAAGCAGGTCATCCCCGATTGCACGTTGAAACCACGCGGTGACGCGATGCATCAGAAGGCGCGCGCCGCTGAAACGCGGGGAGCAACCGCGTATAAGTGAACCGCGTAAAATAAATCACTGGTGTTAAAAGCGCAAACGCATATAAGCGAAACCGCGTATAAATATGCCGCGTAAAAGAGGGACGCCTGTATTTGCAAATTAATGGCGGCAGCAGAGAATAAAAAAATTAGAAAGTCCTGCACAAGTAACCGAAACAAGCTCATGGATAGTGCAAAAGGTTTTTTAATAGTAATTTGATGCAGAAAGTTAATCTGATGCTGCTTCAACGTGCCAATAAAACAGCTAATCCAATTGTTTCAATATTCACGCGGATCTAAAACTTTTCGATAACCTAAAATCCATCTAAATTGTTCAGATAAAGTTCGAACTACAGATTTTGCTGGCTTACAACTATATGCACAATAGTAGCTGCTGCGCACTGTTACCTCTGTTTTTTACTATATGACTATATAACCTGAATCAAGTAGAGACTGTGAGATCAAACATATTCTATTCAATACAAAATAACCGAATTATTCTGATTTGAATCCGCATCTTGCTTTTCGTTCAGCAAAAACTTCCATCACAGAATCCAAATTGAGTGTATTAGCTACTGATCTTTCGATATAGAGGATAGAGAAGTTGTTGAGTGTGTCTTCAGCCAAAGAAGCTCGACGGTATTCTTCAATAATTTTCAAAGAGCTCATGAGCACTAGCTGAACCGATAGGCACAGTCAAAAACAATCTGAATAATCTGCAGCTCTCTGAAAAACTGTACAAAATTGTTCTCTCTAGCGTGCTGTCATTAGTAAAATTACGATTTTCCGAGAAATACATGCTCGTAAAACTGGCTAATTCATATTTTAGATCTGTAGTGAAAAATTCCGAATATTTTTCCATTAAATTAGTGACGCTGGTTTCTGATTCGTTTTCTTTTAGATTGACTAATTTCTCGGGCATCAAAAAACCAAACACATCATTCACTTCACGAAATCCTTCAGTACGTTCTTGCAATGCGTTACTCATTGAATCCAAAACCTTGTAATTTATTCGATGTTTTTCGTCTGTTTCCAGTGGCGAGTCGGCAGCTTTTTCGTGAAACATTTTTTTGATTTACCTCTTTCTGACAAGGATTTTAGCATTCCATCTCTTCCCATTTATTCTTAGCCTTCGGAACAAAATTATCATATGTGCTTTTGCTCCTCGAATCCTTTAATTTTTTCAATTTTGCTGAAATGCACCTATGGGCCATCATCAAGTCTATTTCTTTCTTTTGCATTTGAACCTGCACATTATGCTCAATACCGAATGCCACCATAACAAATTGAGGAAAAAGGTCCAGTTCTTTGAGGAAATGAGACATCTTGCACTCATTATATCTTCGCCAGAAGCTCCCACTCTTGAAATTTCATTTTCTATGCCATTGATAGTACATCAAAAAAATTTCTTCCACGATATTATCACGAAGAAAATAGATATGTCATCAAATAAAATGAAAAAATAAACCATCCGCTCCTTAAGAAATAAAAGGGTCATTCGGTCATTTCTTTAGAAGTTTTTCAAAAAATTTCTTAAGAAATGAAAGCGAAATTTTCTTATTGAAACTGAATGCTAACGCGCTGTTTCATAAACATTACTCAGATGGTCATTTAAAAAGAATATAACACTCTGATTTCTTGTTATCAATTTTACATTCAGACGCGCTGAACAATATAGACACTAGAGCTGATTTTTGCTGGGGGGGGGGGCTGCGACCACCCTTCCTTGTGGGCCCCAGGCGGCAATGTCCATTTTGCCATTACTTAAATCCGCCACTGTAACGTATGATATATAGTTACAGTCTCTAGATTAATGGCGATTTCGAATTGCTACTAAAAATGTGATCCATACGTCTTTGAGTGGCCAAGTTATAATGCATAATTACAATTCTATGCCGAAGTCAAAAGAAGTTCAACTCTCCCTGTCTTTCCCTGCTACAGATTTCGGAAAAAGTGCATCAAATCCAGAAAAAGACATTTCTAAAAACAAATGATACGCACTTACGTTCAGAATGCTTCGAGATATCAAGTTAACAATTTCAGTCTCTGTTAAAATATATTAAAAAAAGTTAGCAGCTTTGTAAAAAGAAATATTCACGCCTACTTTTCGAAAAATTTATAATCTTGAAAGCCTCTGAAGCAAACCAAAACAATGTTCTTTTATTTTTTTTTTCTGTAAGGAAGAGATCCTTTGAAAACGTATGTGATTATTACTTTAATTTAATAGAGATGTGCTAGATGTATCTACCTCTATTATATACCGTATGTGGAGAAAGTGCTTTTGTCTTCGAAGGAATATGAAGTGTAGCAAGAAAAACGTTTTATTTTATTAGGAACTTTTTATATTTTCTGTTTGTTCTTGAGGAGTTTGGCGAAGAATTTAAAAAGTCATTTTTCTGTAGAGTTGATGTCTTTGGCGAAACAAAATGAAAGCTAGCTGATAGAACATAGCACTGTTTGTGACCATAAGAGTTTAAGACCTTTTGATCCGTACGAGTTCAGTTTCGAGAAAATTCAGGCATTTCAACAAAATACTATTTGCTTAGTTCATTATGGTACAGTGAAACATTATCTTCGACTATTTTGACACCTCAATGCCACACATTGAAACACTAGCAATGTACAGTTTTAATAAATCAATATAAGTAATTCGATAGGCTTTGTTAACTATGAGGTTTTCTATAATGTATTAGTTAATGTTTGAAAACACATATATATCTTAAAGTAATACTTCGAATTTGTTTTAGTCGATAAGAAATTGAAGTTGATTGGACCAATTTCTTACTGTTTTTTATTACTTAAAAGGTAAAAATGTAAATATGGAAGTTCCCCAACATATCATAGTTATAGGGTTAATGAAATTAAATGTAACATCCTGTACCTATACGGTTACGTTGTCCCCTTATGTATTTTATGTATTAATGTTTTTACGTATGAATAAATTTTTACAATTCAATTTTGTGTTTCTTTGTTATACTATGTATGATGATACTCCCTTCCATTCTGGGAAGCAAAGTACAGGATTCAAAAATAATTGCAAGATGGTGTTATTTCTAATTATAAATGTACTTACTATACAGGGGGTCCCAATAGTTACGGATTCAACGAAAGGGTGTGATAGAGGCGATCATTTTAAATCTGAAAGAATATATGTACAAACATACATATGTCGTTGGCCCATTGTGCATGGCTTTTGAGTTATCGCTAGAAAAAACTTGCGAAAAATCTCTATTTTTGAGGTAGTAATATATTTTTTTTTATAAAATTATCTTTTGTTACTTCTGAATCAACCTTACAGTTTACAGGATATGCCCCCAAATAAGGTATCGTTGAAAAACGGTATCACTGAAAAAATGGTCCAGTTAGTGTAAATAAAGCAATCAGCTTAAGTTGGGTGTCAAAGATGTAACAACCCCTGTAGAAAAGGTTGAAAAGAAGATAAAAGACCCACGCGTATAAAAAAGCTCCAGGCAGTATGACTCCAAAATTCTTTTAAAATAATCATATCTCCTGAATACCTTTTGTGCAATATAATGGGTGATTTTTTTGCTAGTATCTTTTTGACAACACTGTTTTTGACAGATGACGCGTGAACCGTGTCTTGTGTCATTGTCAAACTTGTTCAGTTTGGTCTATAATTTAACCATGAATCGACTTACGAACGAACAACGCTTGCAAATTATTGAATTTTACTATCAAAATTCATGCTCGGTTAAGAGAGTGCATCGACCACTGCTTCCAATTTATGGGCAATTTGGTCGGCCTACTGAGGGAGCTATTTGGAAGCTTGTGACTAAATTTCGAACCGGGTTTACATTATTGGACATTAAACCACCAACACGCAGACGTAGAGTGAGGACTGAAGAAAATATTCCGGCTGTATCCGCCAGTGTTAGTGATGACCGTGAAATGTCGATTCGCCGCCGTCGCAGCAATTGGGTCTCTGTTACTCCACTACGTGGAAAATTTTGCGACATGATTTGGGTGTAAAACCTTATAAGATACAGCTGGTGCAAGAATTCTGGAGTGAAGACCAGCCAGAAGCATTGCAAGAGCTACCAATGCATCCCGAAAAAATCACTGTTTGGTGTGGATTATGGGCCGGTGGCATCATCGGGCCGTACTTCTTCAAAGAGAAGACAATGGCCGGAACGTAACTGTGAATGGCGAGCGCCCAAAATGGAAGAGCTGGACTTGGCTGACATGTGGTTTCAACAAGACGGTGCTACATGCCACACTGCACACGAAACAAGGGCCCTATTGGGAGATTGCTCGGTGAACAGTTTATCTCACGTTTGGGGCCCGTCAATTGGCCGCCTAGATCTTGCGATTTAACGCCGTTGGACTATTTCTTGTGGGGCCATGTTAAGGCTAATGTCTACAAGGATAAACCAGCAACGATTGACGCACTGGAAGCCAATATTGAAGCATTTATTCGTGAGATACCGGCCGATATGTTGGAGAGAGTGTGCCAAAATTGGACCTTGCGCATGGGCCATCTAAAGCGGAGCCGCGGCCAACATTTACATGAAACAATCTTTAAACATTAAATTATATCGAACGTTCTATCGACTCAAATAAAGATTTAATAGTTTTTTCACATTTTTTTTTTTGAAAATCAAAATCAAAATGTTGTAATCACCAAAATTCTAATTTTGTAAACTGCAGCTGCGATTTTCTACCTTCTACATGCGGCACATGATTAGTATTAAGTATTCATCCTGAATAGATTCTAGGTCGAAACAATCCACAGGATGGCGGATTTCACAAAAATGTATGTAATAAAAAGATTACAGAGACTGTGTCGTACACCTAATTTTATAGCCGCGCTTATCAACTGTTTGAAAGCCAAATAGAAGAAAGGAGGCAGTAAATCCTTGAATGTAGATATCTCGCGTGATTTGAATAATTCGTATCCTGACGTGCATTGTGTGGAGGGTTCCGATCATACTGCTTGTTCTGCGTCTAGCTGGAATCGTGTCGTCTAACATCCCATCTAACAGTTCTAATAGATTGTTTTGAGAAAGATTTTAATCAGTTTCTGCATATTCTTGTGTTGAATACCAGAGCAGATGAAACAAGTATGGCATTGCCTCTGCAACGCTTTTATATCATAATCCGGACGTTAGTTTATTATCATATATGGTTGTCCGCAAAGTTGGGGTTTTCCTTTACACGACGAGTAGATCCTGAGAAAATAAGCTGATTTTCTTTGTAGCATATACATCAATGTCTTAAGAGAATCGAGGTATTGGGCTCCACAAACTCAATCAAACCTGCACCAAACCGAAGCCGGTCCTGTCCTATCCCTCGATCACGTCCACAGCGCCAGCGCCAACGTACAATTAAACGACGTACGACTACGATGTAAATACGGATTTTACGACAGAGCCGTACTTGGAATTTCAATTCAATTGAATAGTGAGTATCAGGTTAATAAGATCGTGCGGGTTTTAGTAGAAAAATATGAATTTTTATTGAGGAACAATAACACACTATTTATTTGTCGAAGTCATTACCATCACATTCAATGACCTTTTGGCAACGTGGATCCAATTTTTGTATGCCACTATTGTAGAGCTCCCTTGATTTGGAGTCAAAAAATTGACGGACTGAATTTATTACACCATCTCGAGTTGTGCACTGTCGATGCCTCATACAGTTGTCAAGAGACAAGAAAAGGTGATAATCGCTGGTCGAAATGTCGGAAGAATATGGCGGGTGCGGTAACGTTTCCCAGCCGGGTTCAGAAATTTTTTCTCGGGTCACTTTTGCGGTAAAAGGCTTGGCGTTATCCTTCTTCCGATTGATCAAAGAAGGCTGTTTCTAGATGAGTGCTGCTTGTACTCGTTGAAGCTGCTCACAATGCAAGTTAGCAGTGATGGTATGACCCGTTTCCAAAAACTCAATATACAATTCCAGTTGCTGTCCACCAAACAGACAACAAAACCTTGTTTGGGTGCATGGAAGCCTTGGGCGTGTATGGTACCAAATCAGTAGGCGACAACCAATGATACGAACCTTTAGAATTCGAATACAAGATCCATGTCTCGTCGTAAGTTAATAACCGATTAAGAAATGGTTCATTAGCGTTGCGTGAAATGTTTGCTGAACAAATGGTGAGAGGACTTAATTTGTTATCATTTGTCTGTGCATGTGGGACCCATTTGCTCAACTTCCACGTCTTTCCTAGCGGATGAAGATGCAAACGAGTAGTTTCAGGACTCACTCTGAACATTTCTGCAAGTTTTTAGCACGTTGTCCTGGAATTTTCGTCCACAACCTGTCGAAGATCCTATCGATCAACAATGGCAATGTGCGGCATACAGCATCCGCACGAACTTATTTGGTTACCTGATAGTTTTTCATTTATTTTTTTTACTTGTTCGCTCACGTTGCACCACACCTTAGCCTGTATAGATCAAGCGTAGTTGTGTCTGAAAAGGAAAACCCGAACTTTGCGGACCCCTGTATACGTGTTTTTTTGTTGTAATATTTTGTTACAAAAGGCCGTCATCGAAATAGGTGACACGTCACCAGCTCCCATAAAACCCTCTTACTACCAAAAAATGTAGAAGATTGACAATAGCAGGTGCAGGATTAAGTTAATAAAATGAGAAGTTTTTGGAATTAAGGGTGGTATATCTTGGGCAGAAACTATTTTGGATATCGATTTACTCAAAAGGTATGTTAGAAGCTCATAATATCCGAAAAGTTTTTTTTTACTTGAATACACGGTAATATTTTTGACACCAGATAAAAGTATACCTACACCCCCTAAATCACCCCTATCTTTTGATCCATAGCTTTTGAGACAAATTGAAGCGGGCCGGAAAACATGGCAGTTCCATCTTACTGTCATATATTTTTTTAACGCCTACCATCTGTGCTAACCTTTAACGGCCCTGTGCGCTCCAACTAGATAGCTCTCTATCTAGGTAACTTCTGATTTCTGTGACAATTCTAATTCACAGGTGTTCTATAGCGCCTGTCATGTTGCTGTCACATTTTAGGTTTGATTTTTGTCATGTGTGTCAACAAAATCCAGGGGTTGCTGTGAAATGCAGACTGTCAAGTCCAGAAAAAACAAAAGAAAATATAGTTGGTGCTAGTTTAAACATACCATTATATGGTAAACAAAATGAACTCCAGGAATTCTTTATCATATTTTATGAATACTCCACCTCCAACTATTCGAGAGGTACAGTTACATACAGTGAATGTAATTACTATAACATGAAGAATGGATTAAAATAATGGCAGAAACGAGAATCTCTGTTATTATACAATTATTAATAATCTTTCGAATTCAAATAAATCAAGCTCATCATAGGGATCCAACCCATTCTGAGTTGGTCCTGTTTCTTCTTTGTTCCAAGTTCTGTATCACCTAAAAGCCAATGAAGAAAATAAATTACGTTCAGTTTGCCAGATATATCTCACAATGTAAAAGCCTTGCTAATTATATGTAAAACATGTTATTATGTTCTAGGATTATCCTGACAGAGGAAATAAACCGGAAACAAATGCATCACAAAGTAATTTCAACAGATATGCTTCCCACAATAATTTTGTACAGAAAGATGACAAATATGGTTTAGGATCTAATCAAATAGCTGATATTCCTGGTAGATCCAGACCTTACATTACAAACACTGCTACAAATAATTTAGCTTCAGGATTGAGAGATGATAATAATATATCCCAGAACCAAATGAATGGATACAGATATGAAAATGACTTAAAAGCCACAATTAGGCAAAGTATAGATACTGGGCAGTCATATGGTGCATCTAGAGTATCTAATCCCAGTTCAAATATTGATTTTAGTAGGTAAGTTTTGGTTCACACCAAATCAATGCTTTGAGAAGGTGTTTGAAATGTGTTTTTTCAAATGTGCTCAAAATGCATGTGCGTGGTTTACTCAAATTTTTGGGTTTGTTCATACCTGTTGTAACTCGTAATTTTAGGCCCCCCACATAAGATACAAATTAGTATGGCAGATATGTTTTCTAACCATTTTTATTGACAATACATGTGATGAGTGGCATATGTACCATTTATTTCTTAGTTGTGTTCCTAGCAGCTGCTGCATCTTTAGGTGGGAATCCTCTGAGACAACAGTGAATGACATGTGGAATGCTACTTGTTTCCTAGTGTTGCCTCTTGTTGACATTCCACAGTGTTGCCCAAAATTCTATTAATGTCATATATAGTCAAAATCACGAAAGATGACTATTACGTCATACCATAAATTGTACTGAAGTAATCAATGGATGTATGTTGATGATAAAATCACGAGTCAGAAACATAATCACAACAAATTTATATTATGATTTTGCAAAGTTAGGTTATTTTGCTGATTATTTTTATTCTCATTTTATAATAATTTTAGTGAGCAGTTTTTGTTTTGAAAAAACAGTTATGAGTAAAATACCTTAACACCAAAGACCAAAGTATTATTCGAAAACAACATAATCTGCTTCAACAGAAAGTAACTATTCATCTTTCAAATATGATCGATCATGCAACATGAAAACATTGTCTATCTTTGTCGGATACATGCAAATTAGCAATACGGTTTGTTTAGACAATAAAATTCTGTTTGTTTCTGTCTAACATATCAAAAACTTCATCAAATATATTCACAAAGCGCTCTCGTTTGTCTTTACTACAGACTAAAATGATGAAGTAATCGTCATCTTTCGTGGTTTTGACTTTACATGAGTGTAGCATGTGTCTTCACAACTCAGTGCAGGCAACATCAGTTTAGTAGTCATGTCATTACAACCAGTCATTAATTTTTTCCGTTCTCAATGGAATGCAGATTCATATTTTTTTTTCCAATACTGAGCAGTGGTATGTTCCTATTTAAAGAAATTATCCATTAATAAATAATATATAATATAATTTTATATCTCTCCGATTTGTTGTTCTATAATTCACCCGAATTATGGTAATCTTCAGTTAAACATAATGTTTTCCTACTGGTCCACTCCATTTTGTCGCCTGCTCCAAGCAGCACCAATATGAACTCGTTTGGATAACTGGCGACACTGATCAGAACGTGGATTCATGTCGCTGACGGCGCCTTCGAGAGGCAACTTGCGGCATGCGACAAGGAGACATACTTCTTGTCGTTTTGTGTTGCGTCTATGGAAAGACAGTGTGCTGTTGTATTGGATCCAGTCATACTGACCTTATTGCAGCAACTGACTTGCAATATATCTCTACCTTATCAGTTATATCTTGACTAGAACGTGGGAATACTGTCTTCAATGTGTAGACACCAACACTTTCCAGAATTTCTCATCAGAGAGACAAATTTTTTTTTCCATATAATACTGGGGTCTCACATTTCTCTAGGTCGAATCATATCCATGGAGGTGTCAATTTTTGCAAAACACTCAAAGGCAGTGGTTGATACACCTTCAATAAAACCATTTTCTGTTGAGTGTCATCTAGAAGTCGGTGGTGCTGCATACAATACCGGAAAAAGTCAAATTACTATTGTATTTTTATATATAAATATGTAAATCATGTTAAATGTAACATTAACAATTTCGAGATGCAAAATGAACAGCATAGCATGATTATAATACAAGAATCACCATCAAATCATTTTAGGACTATAACTTAAACTAGGTCACTGCACTATAATTTTTCAGAAATGAATAATGCTCTACCTAGAGATTTGAGGGATATTGATATCTACTGTAATTTTACAGGAATGGTTTTCAGTTATCTAACTGACAAAATTGACGAATTTATAAACTGTGGATATTAACCCATATATGCCTATTGTCCGGAAAATCGAACAGAGAGCAGGTAACTGTAAATGAGCGTATATTCGAGCCTTGCGCTTCTTAATCACAGATGTCGCTTTAACGCTTGGAAGTTCAAAGCACATTCAAATATAAACAGGTGTTGTTAGGTTAGTTGTAGTTATTTTGTAGCAAAAACGATACAGTTTAACGCAATGGCGCACATAGATAGAGATTATGCTCGATCTTTAACACTTTGTCGATAAGTTTTGCAAACTTTTAATGATCATTCAGATTTTTGCTGACAGATACGTATTCTCTAAGATATATACATGCTTTTTGCTGCTTTACAGCAGGCGTACAGCAACACGTGTTTTGTCCAGGCAGGGGTAAATTTGCGTGTTCGATAAAACGAACAACAGGTACACAAGGGTATATTTTGTATTTCAGTGGCTTGACGTTGGATGATATTTTGAATACGCGGGATGACGACGATGATGAGACACTTCCTAACAGCCAAGAGATAGACATTATTTTACAGCCCCCTACAAATGCGTGTCAGGATTTGACAGATGAAGATTCGGGCGACGAGGATTTGATAACCATTGGTAACCTGCCAGGCACACAACTTATGGCAGAAGCTTAATTATTCGGCATTACTCAAGAAGATAAGGAGGAAGAAATAGGAAATGAAATAGATGAGGATGATTTACCGCTACGTAGCTTGCAAGTAGCCATAAAAAAGAATTACTTATGGGAAAAGAGAGATTTAGAACCTCGATCTTTTGAATGGCCAACGTACATCGATGTGAAAACAAACTTCTCACCTACAGAACTATTTTTTCAGTTTTTTGACAACAACGTCATCGATATGTTTGTAAAATATAGCAATTTGTACGCTTCAAAAAAGAACGTCTTGAACAGTACTATCACTGAAGCGGAAATGAAAGCGTTCTTCGGCATCTTGATTTTGAGTGGTTATGTCCAGCTTCCACGCCGTCGTATGTTCTGGGAGAATAGCAAAGACACCCATAATGAAGTTGTTTCTTCAGCCATGTCAAGAGATAGATTCGAATTTATTATGTCAAATTTGCATTGTTGTGACAATTCCAAGCTATCTCAACAAGATAGATTTGCGAAAGTTCGGCCACTTTTTGAAGCAATAAATAGAAATTTTCAACTTTTTTGCCCCGTACGAGCTGCACACTCAGTTGATGAGTCCATGGTACCTTACTTCGGGAGGCACGGCTGTAAGCAGTTCATCAAAGGGAAGCCAATCCGTTATGGATTCAAAATATGGATGGGTGCAATATCATCTTCAGACTGCGCTGGCTATTGTGTGTGGTTGGAACCCTATCAGGGATCAAACACTCAAATTCCCACGATGTACAAATTGTTTGGCTTAGGGCCATCCGTTGTGCTGCATTACAGTACCGTATTGCGCCAAATGCTATCTCTCCCGTATCACATTTTTTTCGATAATTTCTTTACTACTGTGCCACTTTTGGAGGAACTTTTGCGGCATAACATTAGAGGTACGGGGACAGTGCGGGAGAACAGAATGTCGAAATGCACAGTCCAGTCAAAAACTGACATGAAAAAAACTACGAGAGGTACATATGACTACGGGTCAACCGAGAATAAAGTACTAATCGTCAAGTGGAATGACAATAATATCGTAAATGTGGCCACGAACAATTTACAAGTACATCCTATTCATCATGTGTCAAGGCTTCAGAAAAGAAAAAAGATTACAGTTGATCAACCTCAGTGCATAAAAGCATACAACGCATTTATGGGAGGTGTAGACAGATGTGACGAGAATATTAGTTATTATCGTACGAGTATCCTAGGAAAAAAATGGTATTCCTGTCTAATCTTTTACCTTTTGGATTTGTCTATTCAAAATTCCTGGCATTTACATAGGCTGCAAGGAGGGTCAATGGATCAACTGACATTCCGGAGACAGATTGCCATGACCCTATTGGAAACTAACAGGGTGTCCAGAAAACGTGGAAGACTATCATGTCTGGAAAATGCAGAATCCCGTTTCATGAAGACTAATGAACATTACTTAGTGCGGCAGGACAAGCCAACTCGTTGTCGCGTGTGTCACAAGCCGGTGCAAAAAAAGTGCTACAAATGCGACGTTGCATTACATATGGACTGTTTTGTTCCTTATCATACCAAGAATTAAGAAAAAGAAGTATGCGTGTTAACATTTTCTTGAAAATTAACTCATTTTCACGTATATATGCCTAACGTTCGATTAAACTAACAGCCAAAAAATGTATTTTTTCGTGTAGATTCTCAAATAAAATGACTGAATATCACATCAGAGACTATTTTTACTTCACTAAACAGCCCTTAAATCGAAATTCTTGAAAGATTATAATTCAGGCATAAATGGGTTAATACCGTTAAAATGATCTTTTTGAATATTGGTTTTTACATAATTTTTAATTTTGTCAATTATTTTAATGTGTTATAACATACAGTTTCAAATTTAATTTCATTATTGCATATTTTATTAAAGTATCTGTAGATGGCACATTTTTGTTTTTTCTTTCAGCACGATTCTGATAGTTTCGCGATCCGACAGCAACATGTTGAAACACTAAAAGTATGTGTTATTTATTATTCTATTTCATCTGGATAATATAGTAAAAATATTGTCATTTAAGCAGCGCCATTAGATCTATCTAGTGTATGCCTGAGCTCAGCTGATGAGTCATCTGAATGATCTGACAATCACTGACAATGAATGGTTATTTACTGTTATTTATCAGTATTTATCACAGAATGTGATATTTATTGACCATGTATTGCATAAAAATCTATTCGCACTGTTCAAATCATCAGTAATTACTGATTGTATGGACCAAAGCAAATTTAATACTGATGATGTGGCACAGTGGCGTAGCAAGGGGGAGGCACCGGGTGTTACCTTTCTTGGGGTGACACGCACCTGGTGATTCAACTTTTTCTCTCTTCAAGAACTAGCTTCATTGTTTATGATCGTACAAACAAATACTTTGCTTTTGGCGAATACCGAAGAACTGAAATTAGTTACATCCAAATTTACTGATTTTTATGAGGTTTCAGAAACAGAATTACTTTTGGAGATACCCAGACTGTGAATACACTTAAAAATCGCTAATTTCACAGTTTCTGATCTGATCTAGATTTTTTAGTTTATTGTAGAATGGGATGTTAAAGAATATCTTCCAAATCTTATGATTGCACTAAACTTGTTCATGACGGTTTGCGTATCCGTAGCTTCATGTGAAAGGAGTTTTAGTAAAATAAAATTCCCGAGGGATTACAAAATATAAATTTTGCAGAAGTTATTTCTGAGTTTGCAGCTGTCAAAACTAGAAAGAAGAGATTTTAATTGTAAGATAAAAATATTTTTTCTGTCTTAGTTTTTATTGTGTTTTGTTATTTGTTCGATATTTTAAATATAAATATCAAATTATCTATGACGCTCACAAAACGTATACAATTTATTGCTGTTGACTTTCGATGGGATGACACCACCAACTTCCGCATCGGGTGCCACCCAAGGTAGCTACGCCACTAATGTGGCAGTCACCTATTTTTTAGCTGCTGAGTGTTAGTGAAGACAGTCATTCATAACCATATTCATTTCTTTAAAATGATCAACAGGCCCCCACCGATGAGCCAAGTTCCAAATCTACAACTTCACTCAAGGTCACAAGAAAGGTACCAGTCATATACTGGTAGGATAGGATCTTCAGAAGTGACAAACCATCTAAGAAGGCCTCAATCATCAGCTTTCAGTTCAGGATCTGCACAAGGCACTCAAAGATCATCACAGTACAGTAATACAACAAGAACCTCAGAGGTCCAACAAAATAATGACACGGTACTGCTACCTCATACAGTAACTAATAGACTAGACATAAATAGTGGTGGGCCTTTTCTAAAGGTAGTAACATGGTGCCTAATATTCACATATTGATACAAATAAAATATGCTGTATTATTTTTGTGCAAATATTTCATTCATGTGAACTTTGTATAGTGTGCCCCTATCAAGCTAACGACTAAAATTCGAGGCTAGCCATTTGACTTACATTCATCTGACAACATAATTATAAAAATATAATTATGATCTTATGGTTTTATATGGAGCGATGCAAATCATTACAAAACCTTTTTCACAAATAATAGACAATAATTGCAAATGCCAACATCACATAAGAGATAATTCCAACAAGTAACATGATATAATCCTTTTGTATCTTGTAACCATTGCTTACTGACTTTAGACAGTTTCAAATAAAGTAAACTCATAGCTTTCTGCCAACTATAATGAGCTATGAAAATATTTGTGATCTATCTTATCAGTCTTATTCGTCACTCAAAACTATCGGATCACATATAAAGCTAGAAATTATACATAACCACCAATATTTTCAGCCTCTGCCAGCTGCCATGCCAGCTTCAAGACAACCCCCTATACCCCCTGGCCCCCCACCATCATCTCCTCCGCCCCCACCCCCTCCAGGAGCTCCCCCTGATACGGAAAAACAGCTGTTAACGTCACCCTATGACGTCAGACGACAAGTACAGACGTCGCCATATGAAGCAAATATGCAGGCACACATTTCTGCTCATGATTATAAAGTGCAGCTGATGACTAACCGTGGACCACCCCCAGAAGTGAAAAAACAGTTACAAACTCCGCCACCTGATTTGAAGCAACAGATGCAGACTCCACCCCCTCAATTTGTCACCCCACCTGGAGCCACGTTTTACGCACCGACGCCACCTTTTTATCTTGCCGTTGGAAGGTAAACTTGTTATATATTTATTTTCTTCTTTCCGCAGAAACCTTTTTCGGATCCTTCGCATTCGCTCGGATCTACAAGAACTAGGTTGCGTTCGTAAATTATTGTCACAGAGTGTACTTTCACTACTCTGTAACAGTTTGATATTCGGTATTGCTTGACGTACCAGTTCCATGTGTTCGAAAATACAACAAAAGAATCCTTCTGGAACATCAAAAGTGCGCGTTTCTTCGTGTCCTCAAAACCATGTGAATAAAAGTTTTGTCACTTGTTGTTTTCACGGTTCATTGTTTGTTTACCTTATTTGGTTATCAAATAGCGCTGGCAGAATAAATATATATATATATATAGGAAATTGGCAAACTTTAAGCTTAGTAAACTCTTTTGACGGTAATTTTATTTTTATTTTCTTATTTTATTCATTACAACACCCTACAGTAAATACCAATTACAGGGTGAGGAAACACAGAACATAACAGATATAAAAAACAATAATAAGTAATAGACTACGAAGTGTAAAAGATACATGCTGGTTACTTAATGGTATTTTTTATGTCTGCAATTCTGCAGTTAAATATATCAATCCGGTTACTTGCAGAATTGTAATTCCTACATATCACATGCAAAGGGGAATAATGTAAATAATTTGTCCGTGCCGCAGGTAGATAAAACGTAACGTTTTGTGGGGATGTCAGCCTAGGTACGTTAAATGATAACTGACCCAAGAAAGCTAAATCATCACTAGCATTATTGATCAATTTAAACAGAAAAATCATTGACTGGCAAGTGCGTCTTGCTTCAAGACTGCTGATTAGATGTTTTTCAAGTAAGGAATCATGAGGTATACCTATGGGCGGGTAAACGCCATCCACTTTCAGTGACAAATATTTTAAGAAACGTCTTTGAACACATTCAAGCCTACTTATATGAATAATATGATGCGGATTCTAAATTAACAATGCATACTCAAGCTTCGACCTAACATCTGCATAATACAGCAACTTCAAGGTGGTACTCTGAGTGAAGTCACGGCAGTTTCTTACAATAAAGGAGTACATGCGGTTTGCCTCGGAAATTTTGCTGTCACTGTGTTTGACGAATGTTAGTTGTGAGTCAAATGTCACGCCTAAGTCACATAAAGTTGAAGTCCTCTGAATAGAGGTACCTGACAGGGTATAGTCAAATAACAGAGGGTTTTTCTTCAAAGTACGTAACATTTATTGATGTTTAATGACAGATTGTTTTGTGAGCACCAAGCATCCAACCTGACCAGATTTTCTAAAAGTTGATCACAGTCTGATTCATCAACTACACGACAAAACATCTTTAGATCATCAGCGTAAAGTAAACAATTCTCGCCAACAGCATTAACTATGTCATTCACAAATATGACGAACAATAAAGGCCCTAGGTTACTGCCTTGTGGCACTCAGGATTTGGCTACATACTTCGACGATCTGATGCCATTAAACATCACAAATTGATTTCTTCCAGTGAGGAAGGACTTAAATAGTTGTATTAAAGGCTCGGATAATCCATGCGATTTCAGCTTATGCAATAGCATCCTGTGATCAACTCTGTCAAAGCCTTGGAGAAGTCTGTGTAGATCACATCTGTTTGTAATCCTCTGTTAATGTTTTCTGCTATGGTCTGTGTGAAGTTCATCAGATTTGATACTGTTGAGCGCCCTCTCATGAAACCATGTTGTTGAACACATATTTTTCTGCTGACATGATGATATAGTCTGTAATCTCGAGCTTTCGACACCCTATGGTGTCATCTTCAGGAGTCGTCGGTGAGGTTGCAGCCAAATGGTGTTTTTAAACAAAAGCGTGGATTAAAGCACTTGTTGCAATTGTAAAACCAAAAGGACGGACACATTGGGCTTGTTGGTAACGACCCAAATCATAGCTAGGTGTTACCACTATATATCAATACACCCGAACAAATTAAAAATTATCGAACATTTTCAAGTTATCAAAAACTAGTACTGCATTTTGGGGAAAAACAGCAGAGTCCCTTCTAACCTCATACGTCTGTTTCACGTGGTGACAATGAGTGAACCGCTACTAAGCTTAAAGTTTGCCAATTTCTCAATTAATAATTAATTTTATTTCTTGCCCAACTGGTCGTTGGCAATGGCAATGACTACTGCTCGTATATGAATATATATATATTCATATATATACAGGGTGTCCGCAAAGTTGGGGTTTTCCTTTTCAGAAACAACTACCCTTGAAATAAAAAAGGTAATGTGTAGTGAAACGAGGGCGACCAAGTAAAAAAAATAAAGGAAAAAGTACTCACTCTCCAGTTGACGAGAAGGGCTAAGTACGCTCTGCCTGAAATCGAAAGTTATTCACCCCATTACGCGTGAACGTAGATTCGTCTGTCACCAATATGCACTTCAAAAAGTCCGGATTATTGTCATGTTGATGCAACAACCACTCACAAAACCGCACTCTTGCTGAAAAATCGTCAGGTTAAAGGGCTTGTACACGTTGGACGTTTGCCACACTTTAGTTTTTGATACTTTCACTTCTCTAGCCACGTCTCTAGTGCTTGTTGAGGGATTCTCGTCTACGCGATTCAGTAGTTCTTCCTCAACTTGCACCATTCGTGGTTGTCTAGGCCTCCCACTGTGCCCACCTCGAAATTCCTCCAAATGGCCCGTATCCCTGACTCTCTGGACCAGGTACACAAATCTGCGGGGCCTTGGATGATGTCGTCTAGGGAAACGATCTGCATACACTCGCGAAGCCTCTGTAGCATTTTGAAGACATTCGCCATCAATTAACAACATATCAACGAGTTCATTATTGGTGTATGAGTGTGCCAGTATTATTTTTTTTTTGAAACGCAATCGCTTATACGGGTTCGTTTACCTCTATACGCGTGACCGTAACCGTCGGTTGAAGGTTGCATACTGACCTGACACACTGACCCCGACCCAGTTCTGTCGTCGGGTTGAGCCAGTGACCTTGTACCACTCGGTAATGTCGCGGGTCGCGGCTACAGGACGGTATTCAGATATTTTTGATGTTGCAGAGCCCTTTATCTCGGTTCCCTTAAGACATTTTTTGTATATGGTACTAAGAAAAATTGCTTATGTTTTCAAGATCTACACGTCGTGTAAAGGAAAACCCCAACTTTGCGGACACCCTGTACCTATATATACAAGGTGTTCATTTGAAAACTTCTCGCCATGGATTTATCGAAAACCTCTGATAACAGATACACGTCAAACGATTTGTCAAGGGGGACAACTTTTTAACCAAAAACTATTTCACCCTAGAAACTAGTCGGTAGTCGGCTGTAATCAATATCATTAAATGTAGGCGTTGTAAAAATGAAGTTTCACAGTATTCCTGAGTAAAATGCCTCTGCATATTTTACATTCCATTACTCTGTACACATTACCAAGTGCTTTACAAATGCACCCCTGGGTAGTTCTCAAACATGCTTGACACTTTGAAACTGATGTGAAGATGTTGCATATACGACTATCGGTTTCCCAAACGCTAAACATTTTTTTAGAACGGAAAAAATTTACACAAATTTGATGATTGCACATGCAGGTATTCGAAAAAGACCAAGTATCACTGCATATTTTACATGACATTTATGCTGTGTTACAATAAAAAAAAGTAGGAAAAACATCGTACTAAACAGTTTTTCTCTATACAACTAGCCTCATTATTAAAAAATCAACCAACCTAGCAATATTATTCGCGTTTCCAATAGTATCCCCATACTAATATGAGTAATTTCATAAATACCATTTTAAGCGACCGTTCACATAGGTATCCACCTTTTGTACAAATCGTTTGTTCCTAACTTTCGAATCTAATTACACCCAATTTTCCAGTTTTACGAATGTTGCCGCATTCAGCGTCCCACCGCCTCCAATAGGCACTCCGCGGTCGGTACCAGGTACCATCTTGCAAGGATCCCCATCCAACTCATACTATGCTCAAGGAAGCCTGTGTTCCAATCCTCAAAACTCATTTTATAACTACCACAAGCGGTCCAGGGTATCAGATAGTCAAGATCCAGACTTACGCAGGGGGAGTAAAAAGAAAAAGAAATCTCTCGCTCAGATTTTGCCACAGAGAAGAGGATGGTCGGTAAGTAGATGGCTTCAGGAACTATTCTTATTTCCAACAAAATTATCATTTGTATTCATACTCAATCTGAGTAACAGCTATGGGCATACATGCATATTCAACATTCAATCGACACATATATTTCCAGATGGAAGATGCCAAGAAAGCGATAGAAATCGAAAGGGAATGCAACAGAAAAGCGCGAAGGTTCTCTTTATTCATAAAGTTCCCAGATGCGGAGTTAAACAGGGAAATTGTAAGCAGTTTCCATAGCGCCATTGAAAGTGTACATTTCCAACAGCCGTCCACGCCAAGATTTTGCTTCGTTAATATTTCTGTAAGTAATTTTCAGGATTATTCTATACTAATGTAACATCTGAAGCGTATTTGAAAATGTCCTCTTTATTGCACGACTATTCAGTCTCAACGTCATCTTTTTCAAGTAGAATTGACACTTTTGAACATATATTTTGTTTACATGTCTTCCAAGTGACAGTCGGTATGCTTTTTCCTTCATTTATACGTTCCCATACATACAGTATTAATTTTTTGTCGAAGATTGCATAACAATTAATCGTTGTGTTGGGACGATAGTTCTGAGTGGGGTTTCGAGAGTTTCTGATGACTGTTGGTGTTTTCGAAACCATGGACGAATTTGCCGTGTCTGGTACATTAAAAAATGACATACAACCTGGTGCTCGCTTGTCGCTTGCCTTGAAGGGCTGGTCGTTCTTTTGGGAACGGAATACTTACCCCAGGCGGTCCTGGGCTTTGCTGGTTTTGCGCGATGCTACCTTAAAATTGCAATCAAGGTTCGTGCAATCACAGCATGTTACCATTCAGACCATATTCAGACTGTAAATAAATGTGTAAGTGAAGGTAAAAACAAATGAAGTGTTACCTGGAAGACGGATAAACAAAATATATTGTCAAAATCTCAATTGTATTTAAAAAAGGCCACTGTTTGTCGCCAAAATTGTGTAGTTTTAGTACATACTTTTGACTCAAAAACCAAATCATAGACTGGCTCCTTCTGAATTCGTTGGTTGGGATCAAAACGTAGTATAATAAAGATAAATTTCAAACATAAGGATTATTGAGTTTCAGATTATACACGAAGGCCCAACGAAAAGGACGCACCCCCATTTGTGACACTCCTGGTATATTTGGGAAAATCGGTCGAGCAAGTCAATTTTGATTTCTACGGGGGCGTCTTTCCAACTATGGCCGTACAATACAGGCGATCCAAAAATAAGATATTGCGTTACACTTTAGATTTTTAAATGGAAACCTTTTTTAATTCTTATACTATCGGTCGCACCCCCATTCATGACTCTCCTGGTATATTTTGGAAAAAACATTAGGACACGTTAATTTTGATTTCTAGGGAGACGTCTTTTCATCTATAGCCGTAAAATACATTTTTTTAATTTGTAGATTTTCCATGAAGTTTTTAGTAACTTTTGTATACATTTATCTCTACCTAGTAGTGAGTCCACGAGTGCTTTGAGTATTATCAAGTGCCGCGGCTTCATTTCTAACATCGATTTTCTCGATGGCCATTACGGCAAATATTAGACACAGATCCAGTTTCTTTAAATTTTCTTATCGACTTAGCCACACACTTATCGTTAATATTTTTGACTGGATGTAACGCATTAAACAATAGCAATAGCCCTTACAATGCTCCCATTTTGTAATACAATTTTGATATTTCTACCCTTTCTTGAATTGAATAAGTCATTGTTCAATATTTATCACAACCAGGTAGATAACTTAACAATTTGAAATTGAAAACAAAACGAAGTTTTTCTATGACACTGTGTGATGCTAAATGTCCTACCTGGTATCCATGATTATTATTTTTTGCCGCACATTCCATTATTATCAGTATTAAGTTAGTCGAATTACATTATAAAATCAAATGTGTGTGTCACAACGATTGAATATGGGTTTAAACTTTATGATACATAAGTTACTAGAAACTTCATGGAAAATCTATAAATTAAAAACATTTTACGGCTATAAATGAAAAGACGTCCCTAGAAATCAAAATTAACGTGTCCTAGTGTTTTTTCCAAAATATACCAGGAGAGTCATGAATGGGGGTGCGACCTTTTCGTTGGGTCACCCTATATATAAAAATGAATGCAAGAAACAGTTAGTGTTCTGGTGAAGGCTTTACGATTCTTTATTTTTGTTGCCATGTCAGAGAGGTTAAGCTTCTGTCAAGTGTAGAAAAGGGTAACCTTTATATATTTGTTAAAAGTTTGGCATGAAACTTATGGGTCACGTCCTATCGGTATCAAGAAAAATCCTTGAAAAATATATGTAACAATATGTTTCAGTTGCTACAAATGCCATTTTCTCCAGATGGTATCTCATTTTTAGTGAGGTCCAAGATATTTTTTTTTTAACTTGCAATGTTTCTTCAGAGCTCTGCAGACCCTGAAGCAGTAAGACAAGAATTGAACAAAGTCCAATTTGGTGGCGGATATCTGACGGCGGAGTTCAAAAAAGACCGTGAAGAAGATGTTAATGTTAGTCCCGAAAACATGGATCCAACAACGTTATATGTGGGTAACTTGGCGCAAGAAGTCACGAAAGATGATATGTTGCGGATGTATCCCAAAAATAAAAGAATTGATATAGGGTATGTATTTATTGGCAAGTGTAATTTCGGGAACAATGAGATCGAAGAATTGTATTTTTTTGTTCATTTTAAAATATTATTACAGATATGCCAAAAGGATAAAATTCACAAGATATGCCTTTGTTGTATTTAACACTGCAGCAGACGCTATGGAAGCATATAAAAAGACTCATGATAGGCAAATGTACAACAAAAGTTTGATTGTCAGGTAAGAACTAAGAAAAGATATCTTAGTTATAGTCCAATCATATTAGACGAAAATACCCCTGGCTTGCAAAATAATTGTAAAGTCTGGTTTTACTGTTGCGAGTTGTTCAAGGAGGTATTCAAAACATGGACACATAAAATAGGTACACCAATTTTTGTGGTAAAACAAAGAATGAGAAAACGTGTTATTAGGTATTCAATCGAAAGTGTAGACAGGAACGAAAAAACTCTTTACATAAGATTTTAGGCATTTATGAGACCTACAAAATGGGACCACACGTAAAGATCTGATTGATGACAAAAAAGTTATGGCCGAAAACCGAGGCAAATTGCAGGTTTTGGCACTTGTTGTTAATACCACGATGGTTTCTCGCAGATATTTGAAGTTCTTCAAATTCTTAGGATTCATACTTCTAAATATCCACAACAAAATTGGAGTAGATGGGTCAAGTAGATTTTGAGAATTTCTAATTGTTTATCCCAAAACACCTGTTTTACGCCCATCACTACTAGTTTATTGAGAAATATACAGGGTTAGTTCAAAGGGCATTTTATAGCAGAATACACTAGTTGACCTTGCCGATATGAATCGCAAACCATTCCGGAAGATATATATTTTTTTTATGCAAAAAGGGGTTACTTTTTTCTTCTAAACAAATTCAAAGATTTCGTATTTGAGAGTAATTCGCAACAAAAGATCATAGACACATCCACTTTGTTTTAAAATGTGTGTAGTAACGTATGTTTTTCGAATATCGTAGCGCATTTGTTCAATTACTCACTAATATGAAATGTCTGAACTTGTTTATAAGAAAAAAACGTAACCTTTGTTTTTCGCATAAAAGTAACATTTATCTTTCGGAATGGTTTGTGATTCATTTCCGCAAGGTAAACACGTGTATATTGCTATTAAATACTCTTTGAACGAACCGTGTATATTGCTCAATAAACTAGTAATGATGGCCGGAAAACAGGTGCTTTTGGATAAACAATTAGAAGTTCTCAAAAAACTACTTGATCAATATACTCCAATTTAGTTTTTGTTACTTAGAAGTATGAATCCTACGGATTTGAAGAATTTCAAGTAGTTGCGTGAAATTATCGTCGCATAAGCAGCAAGTAACAAAACCTGCATTTTGCCTCGTTTTTAGGCCAAAACATTTTTGATATTAGTCGGATCTTTTCACATGTGGTCTCATTTTGTAGGTCTCATAAATACCTAAAAATCTAATATGAAAAGTTTTTTCGTTACTGTCACCACTTTCAATTGAATCCCAAATAACACGATTTTTCATACTTTGTTGTCAAAAAGTTTTCCCACAAAAATTGGTGTACCCATTTTATGTGTCCATGTTTTAAATATCCCCTTGAACAACTTCACCAATGAAACCGGACTTTCAGGGAAATTTTCTAATATCAGACTATTACCAAATTTTCCTACATGTAGTAATGTAGTGCCTGTAGTATTTTTGTATTGAAGCCAGTTGTTATTCTAGGTTTAGAAGGTTGAACGGTAATATAGGAATGTTAGGAGAACCAAAAGTCCAATCTAAAGCTGGAACTGAGCAAAGTCAATCTAAGGACAGTGAAACAAGCGAAATGCCTTCAGAAGAAAATGATACAGCTGATCATTATCCTTGGGATATTGACGTTTCCTCGTGGGAATTAAAATATAACGGTACATAATGTCTACTTAATATTATAGATGTGAAAGTGTGTATATACAGGGTGTCCGCAAAGTTGGGGTTTTCCTTTTCAGAAACAACTACCCTTGAAATAACAAAGGTAATGTGTAGTGAAACGAGGGCGACCAAGTAAAAAAAAATAAAGGAAAAAGTACTCACTCTGAAGTGGACGAGAAGGGCTAAGTACGTCTCTGCCCGAAATCATACCGATCCAACAGAAAATGAAATCAGCTGATGCGCTACCGAACAGACGCAGGCAAACAAGGAAGGCAAAATGTTGCGTAAACAGTCTAGGTATTGCATCCCGTCCAATCGATTTGGGAGAATAAATGGTCCAATGAGCATACCGTTCACCATGCCAGCCCAAACATTCACCGAAAATGTTTGTTGAAAATGTGCCCGACGGACAGCGTGCGGATTTTCTACCGACCAAACATGAGTGTTGCGAAAGTTATTCACCCCATTACGCGTGAACGTAGATTCGTCTGTCACCAATATGCACTTCAAAAAGTCCGGATTATTGTCATGTTGATGCAACAACCACTCACAAAACCGCACTCTTGCTGGAAAATCATCAGGTTGAAAGGCTTGTACACGTTGGACGTGAAACGGATACAGCCCCTCTTCACGCAGCGTTTGCCACACTTTAGTTTTTGATACTTGCACTTCTCTAGCCACGTCTCTAGTGCTTGTTGTTTTATGAAACGCAATCGATTATGCGGGTTCGTTTACCTCTACACGCGTGACCGTAACCGTCGGTTGAAGGTTGCATACTGACCTGACACACTGACCCCGAGCCAGTTCTGTCGTCGGGTTGAGCTAGTGTCCTAGTACCACTCGGGGATGTCGCGGGTCGCGGCTACAGGACGGTATTCAGATATTTTTGATGTTGCAGAGCCCTTTATCTCGGTTCCCTTAATACATTGGTGTATATGGTACTAAGAAAAATTGCTTATGTTTTCAAGATCTACACGTCGTGTAAAGGAAAACCCCAACTTTGCGGACACCCTGTATATGTTCCGTTTTCACGATAAAAGGGCTGAATCGATTTTGATGAATTTTAGGGCAGATTATATATATATATATATATATATATATATATATATATAACTTAAATAACTTTTCTCTTTGAAAGTTTCTTTAAAAATTTTATTTGCGAGAAAACCGAGTACAGATAGATGTTCGTGGATTGAGTTCTGAATCGTTTAAAACTACGTTATACAATGCAAATGAAGGACAAATGAAATATAATACTTTTAAGTGATAAACATGAGTCGCAGTGGAAAAGTGCTGAATGAGCTTCATCTTCTTTATAGACTGGTACATAACTTATATATACAGGGTGGCGCATCGAAAACGAAACAGACGCATTTACTGGCAGCTCAGTTTTTTTTTGGAAAAACGCTCAGACCCGTCGATTTTGTTTTCGAGGGGGATACAAGTTTGGCAAAAAATCACGTTAACACGTGCAGCCCCATAGGCGGAGGTGACACCAACCCTAAAATCTTAAATGGAAAGGGGACTCGAGTGATACCCTATTTTAAAGGTCTTTCAATTCTATTTATAATGATGTAAAATACATGAGCTTACATTCAGTAGTTTTGAAGATTTCTTGACTTAAAGCTTAAACAAGACTTTTAATAGGTACATCAGATTAGTTTGTACTACTTTCAGAAGAAATTTGACTAAAAGAATTTACTTAATAAGTAAATGCTTTTCTTCACTACATCTATGATTTGTATATCATTTTGTTGTTGAAAATAGCTATTGGACCGTTTTTTTTTCTTGTGGCAAAAAAGTTATTTCTTGAAGAAAGATAAGGAAATATCTCGTACTTATTTTAAATAGGAATTTAGTACATAGTTTGCGATTGTTTTGGCCAAACTTTGTTGATAAAATAACTTGTAACGCTTTATTACATAAATTAACCATGGTATATTCCACAGCAAAAAGAGTTGAAATTATCGAAATATTTTTCGGAAATAATTAGTGCGCTAATAGAACAGCAGAAATATTTAATGAGCGACATGAGAACTGTAACGTGCATTGAAAATATGTTCTAGAACTTGTAGCTAAATTTCGGGAAACAGGGTTAGTCGCCAATTATAAACGCAACATTGAAAATCCCATAAGGAACGAAGCAATAGTCGTGGGGGTTTTAGGGCAAGTTTATGTAGATCCTACGTTAAGTACCCGCAAATTGAAGACTGTGTGGTGTTAGTCGACGTACTGTCCAACGGATTCTAAAGGCCCATAGTTTTCATCCGTATAAAATTCACCTGGTACAAGAACTTAATGAAGACGATTTTGATCGGCGATTACAATTTTGTGATGATATGAATGAACGAATTATAAACGATGAACATTTTCTATTCAACACTTGCTTTTCCGACGAATGTTCCTTTTTCTTAAATGGCGTAGTAAATCATCATAACTGCCGATATTGGTCCGATTCTAATCTCAGAATTTATCTTGAGATTCATACACAGCCACAAAAATTAATGTTGGGGCTGGTATTTTGGGTGATCATTTAGTTGTTCATTTTTTCTTACCTGGAAATTTGACCGGTGAAATGTATTTAGAATTACTGGAAGACGCCATAGATCCTGCATTAACAGCCATAATTGAAAATCAGAATGATCGTCGGTACATTCCGAATAGGTTGATGTTCCAACAGGATGGTGCCCACATTACGCATTACGTGTTCGACAATATTTAGATCAGACGTTTCCAGATCGATGGATTGGTAGAAGAGGTGCCATTGAATGGCCCCCAAGATCGTCAGATTTATCACCTTTGGATTTCTTTATGTGGGGTCATTTAAAAAGCAAAATCTATGCAACTCAGCCAACATCATTAGAAGACCTGCGACAAAGAATTGTGAATGAGTGCCTTCAATTTACTCCTCAAATATTGCAAAATGTGCGGCAACGTTTTGAGCAAAATCTTTATTATTGCATGGAGAGTCATGGTGGCCATTTTCAACATTTACTTGCCCAACGGGTCAGTTCATTCTTCATTTTTAAATTACTTTGCTGCCAAATGTATTGCTCTCCACTAATGATGATGTATTAGTTTTATTTAAGCTTTAAATCAATAAATCTTCAAAATTACTGAACTGAAGTACATTAATTTTATATCATTATAAACGGAACTGAAAGACCTTTAAAATAAGGTATCACTCGACCTCCTTTTCCATTTAAGATTTTGGGGGTGGTGTCACCCCCGCTTAGGGGGCTGCACGTGCTAACGTGATTTTTTTGCCAAACTTATGTCCCCCTCAAAAACAAAATCGACGGGTCTGAGCGTTTTTCCAAAAAAAACTGAGCTGCCTGTCAGTGCGTCTGTTTCGTTTTCGATGCGCCACCATATACAGGGTGTCCGCAAAGTTGGGGTTTTCCTTTACACGACGTGTAGATCTTGAAAACATAAGCAATTTTTCTTAGTACCATATACACCAATGTATTAAGGGAACCGAGATAAAGGGCTCTGCAACATCAAAAATTTCTGAATACCGTCCTGTAGCCGCGACCCGCGACATCCCCGAGTGGTACTAGGACACTAGCTCAACCCGACGACAGAACTGGGTCGGGGTCAGTGTGTCAGGTCAGTATGCAACCTTCAACCGACGGTTACGGTCACGCGTGTAGAGGTAAACGAACCCGCATAATCGATTGCGTTTCATAAAACAACAAGCACTAGAGACGTGGCTAGAGAAGTGCAAGTATCAAAAACTAAAGTGTGGCAAACGCTGCGTGAAGAGGGGCTGTATCCGTTTCACGTCCAACGTGTACAAGCCTTTCAACCTGATGATTTTCCAGCAAGAGTGCGGTTTTGTGAGTGGTTGTTACATCAACATGACAATAATCCGGACTTTTTGAAGTGCATATTGGTGACAGACGAATCTACGTTCACGCGTAATGGGGTGAATAACTTTCGCAACACTCATGTTTGGTCAGTAGAAAATCCGCACGCTGTCCGTCGGGCACATTTTCAACAAACATTTTCGGTGAATGTTTGGGCTGGCATGGTGAACGGTATGCTCATTGGACCATTTATTCTCCCAAATCGATTGGACGGCATGCAATACCTAGACTTTTTACGCAACATTTTGCCTTCCTTGTTAGAAGATGTGCCATTAAGTGTAAGACAATCAATGTGGTTTCTGTACGATGGTGCACCGCCCCATTTTAGACGCGAAGTGCGTGAGTTTTTGAATGAATTATTTCCCAATAGGTGGATCGGACGTAAAGGACCCGTAGCGTGGCCTCCGCGATCTCGAGATTTAACACCATGTGATTTTTTTTCTTCGGGGAGAAATGAAACGCTTAGTGTACAAAACTGAAGTGCATACGGTTGACGAACTTCGTCTCAGAATTGAACAAGCTGGTGCTTTCATTCGGGGGAGGGACTCCATTCTCGTGCACGCACCTGTGTTTTTGAATCAAACGGCGATAACTTCGAACAATACCTATAAAGTACGTTTACTTAAAAACTGAAAACGCGGCAACGCCGTCTTATTTGTTACCTCTGTTCGTGGTCTGAACTACCGCCGGCGTCTGCTCGGTAGCGCATCAGCTGATTTCATTTTCTGTTGGAGCGGTATGATTTCGGGCAGAGACGTACTTAGCCCTTCTCGTCAACTGGAGAGTGAGTACTTTTTCCTTTATTTTTTTTACTTGGTCGCCCTTGTTTCACTACACATTACCTTTGTTATTTCAAGGGTAGTTGTTTCTGAAAAGGAAAACCCCAACTTTGCGGACACCCTGTATATGCAAAGGGTTGAGATAAGGTCTAAGAGCTATGGGTAAACTATTATATTTTAAAGCTAGGTATTCAAAGGTGGGTTTCTTATGCTCCGTTCTTTGATAAACTGTAAATCAGCACTTACAAAGAAACTTTGTAAATTCCAGCCTAATAGTTCGGTAAAGTGGGAATTTACACTTTTAAAGTTTTTGTAGAGAATTTGGAATCTTTCAAATTAATCCAGCTTAAAAATAAAAGTATGTTTCGACTCCAATTTTTTTCTTCAAAATAATTATTAATAACAAAGAAATGATATCCGTAATATAGGGTAGGAGGGGGTTAAATATCTCTATGGCGAACCTGGGATAATCTGTGATGGACTTGCTCTTTCCTGTCACCACTTCAGGGGATCGTCTGTTCCCGTTAAAAACGGTTCATTAAAATATTTATTCAGAGAGATAATCTCTGCTGCGACTGAATTTTCAACTCGAGGAAAATGTTTTACCAAAAGGTCAAAATGCTCCCAAATGTCTGAGTCTGGCTTCTTCAGTTCACATCGGATATATGGCAACGGTAGTCAAAGTTTATTAAAAATCAGAACGGGTGAAAACAAAAAAAAGTGGCTAATATCGATCGCTCAGTCCGCCATGCTCATCACCAACACGAAGATGCAATCCGAATAAACCTCTTTTTAAATACGCATATTAGCTGCATTTTTTTTTGTAAAACTGACAAACTAATGAGTTTCACTCGCAATGATGAAAACGTTTCACTAAGTAATAGCATTTGGAATCGACAACATTTTTGTATCATACGAGCATCGCAAGCCAAACCTGAATACAACTCTGTCCAATTCTTAATTTTCGAGGAGTAACATGTAACAGTACGTGATTGTTCGGCTATTAATTGACCCTCTACCCCCCCCCCCCCCCTAACTATTTTATATGACTTTTCAGAAGAAAAAGTTGTATACAGGGTGATTCACAAGTTGTGACCAAAAATGGAACATCATATACAGGACCGCATTTTAAGGGGGGTCTTCAATGTAACATTATTTCCTCGAGGGCTTTATTAAAAAGATATCGGGTGTTGAAGTTTAAAAATAAAAAACGATTTTTTAATATCTTCAAAACCGTCAACTGGAATTTACTAAAATTTGGTATGTGGATTTACTCAAGTATTGTCCACATTTATAAATTTCTACTTAAAATTAACGTTCACAAGTGGCGGAGATACAGAGGATTAGTGGCATTATTTTTATATAATAATTACGCTTGTGCTTTTTCCTAGAGTTCACTGTTTTCGTAAAAATAAAAATTTTAGCATTCCAGTTGACTGTGTTGAAGATATTAAAATACGTTGACGCCGACCTGTACCACTGGTGGTTCAAGTGATGTTTTGTCAACAGCCGGAGTTGACCACCAGTGGTACAAGTGTAGATACTGTTTCTTTGCGACATAAATCTGTTGTGCTTTTAAAAAGGTTTCTCTTAAGAGACATACGGTTACTCGAATGGTATGGGATACTTCACGTACCACCGGTGGCGCACTCGGCTGTAAAGAGAGACGTTATGAGCAGAATAGAAACGCACATATTTGGACACTTCATGTACCACCGGTGGCGCACTCGGCTGTAAAGAGGGACGCTATGAACAAAATAAAAACGCACATATTTTGGATTAATCCATTTTTATTTCAAATAAAGAATGAGTTGTACTGAAAATTCATGGAAAACTTAAGTTAAAGATATACAACGAAAAAATGCAAATATATTAATTGTGCTTTTGATTAAAACATTGCAGACACATTGTCGGTTTGTCTTGACAATCCATGTAAAATGTATAAACTCTTTTAGCTTTTTTTATTGCTATTTTATAGCCTAGCTCATTTTTTATCGTCTGGTAGCATAAAGTACATCGCTTCCTGCATTCTCTTGCTGTACCTTCGTACCTTCCCATTTTATGATTGGTCAAATTATTACCACTTTTAGATCGAGGCCTCTTTCTTGTACGTTGCGGGATTGTATCATTTTCGTCTTCTTCTTGTAAAATCCCATCGGTTTCCTAAGCTAAATATCACCTTCTGACGAATCTGCAGCATATCCATTTTGTGTACATTGTTTCCATAGTTATTAGATAACACCCACGTATTTACGATGCAAGTACCAAGAACTACTTCAAAAAATACCTTTTTGTACCACTTGATGCTTTTCCTAATGGACGTGTAATATGATGACATTTGATCTGAGACATCAACGTCTTTTTTCGCTTTATTGTAAGCAATAACTGCTGGGGTTTCATAACATCTTCTCCTTTAATTTTTTTCTCAGTTAGTTCGGGTTTATGGCTTGGTACACTACTGATCATAAGAACTGGTCTCTTGTCAACCCATTTCATTACTCTGATACCGACGTTATTTTGTTCCCCATAAATTTCACCCTTCTTCAATACCATCTTTGTCACACCAACTGGATTGCCTCTCCTATTGCTTCGGAGTGTACCGCAAAGATAAGTTTTTGCTTTTAGAAGAACATTGCACAGCTGCACACTTGAATAAAAGTTATCCACAAATAATATGCGGCCTTCATTTAAAAGTCCCTCTAGCAGAAATAAGCAAACATCGTATTTATGGCCATGTTGCGAAAGAGCTTAACCGTTTTTCCCTGCATACACCTGAAGATTATATGTGTAACCTTCTGGAGTACAAATCTTGTACATTTTGATTCCGTATTTGTGCCTTTTTGCGGGAAGGTACTGCCGCAATACTAACCTACCTCTCCACGGCACCATAGTTTCACCAATAACAACACTTTCTCCAGGAGAGAGTGTATCTTGAAATTGTTGGCAAATAAGATTTAAAAGGTTTTTTATTTTATGAAGTCTATCTGTTTTCGCCGCTGGGTCGGCGTTATCTGCGAAATGGAGAAACTTGAGTAAGCAATCAAATCTATCTCGTGTTAATTGTGTTTTGTATAAATGTATTGCCAAAGATTTCATTATTACTCCAGTACATTCGCATATTTGGCAAATGTTGAATTCCCATGATCATCAAAGTGGCTAAAAGCTTTTTCATTTCACCACGATTAGTGCCTGTCCACTTGCTAACAAACGATCGCGGACGAAGCTGGTGGGTACGAATATATTCAGAGGCATATCTATTTGTCTCTTGCACCATTATGTCTAGAATTTCATCAGTAATAAATTGTCTAAAGATTGCATAAGGGCTAGATAAATCCATATCACTCAACTTCAGCCCGCTTTGACCAGAAAATCCAAAATCATTTGGATCATTTTCACATGGTCCCCAATTGTGGAACGTAGGATTGGCACTTGAAGTTACATAACCAGTGTTGTCATCAATATCGCTGTTTAGGTCTTCATGTTCACTCTCATTGCAAACAGCGGAGGAATTAGTGCTGTCTGAAAGTTCAAAGGGTATATAATCGTCTTCCGAGTCTGCATATGGTTCTGATTCATCTGACGAAGAAAAATTTTGACGGTTACAAGAAGGACCCGGCAATTCTCTATGTTGATTTGTCAACTCACTCGGTCTTGATAGCGGTGATTTTGACGGTTCAATAGTGTCAGATACTTTAGTTTTTACCATAACCGGAAATTCTTGATGTTCATTTGTCACATAACTCGTTTCTCATGTAGATGTGTTTGAAAGTCGACTTAGCTTTCCAGTATATTCACTCGACACTGATGCCGGTCTTGTAGATAAAACACTCACTTTGTCCGAAGTTGGTATTGTTTCTGTTGCCGTAACACAGTCTCCAGTACCACTTGTTGCACTAACAGTCAATAAATTTAAAATTTGTTTGCCTCTCGATATCATCTTGATCACTGTCGTTCTTCTACTAAAACTAAAACAAAAGTGAGGTTAACTTATTGTCAGCAAGAACGTGTACCACCGGTGGTACAAGCAACCGCTATAACGAAAAAAATATTTGTGGAACCGTCTTGTACCACCGGTGGTACAAGACAAAAAAGTGAAAATAATTACAAAAAACAACGGATATAAGCACCAATAATAGTACAAAATGATAAAAAACACGTTATATCATACAAAGAATGATTATACAAATAGACGTTTTTGAAAAAAGAAAATACGATTTACTCATCGGCGTGAACGTGTTAAAAAACATTGTTTTTATTTTTAAACTTCTACGCCCCGTATCTTTTTATTGAAGCCCTCGAAGAAAAATGTTACATGGAAGACCCCCTTAAAATGCGGTTCTATGTATATTTCATTAGTGGTCACGACTTGTGAATCCCCCTATATAGTAAGTTATAGGGTCTAATATGAAGTTGTTCATGTAATACTTTTTTGTATACAGGGTTTCTCAGAATAGTGCTATCAAATAAAGCTGTATCTGAAACTTATCCTTTAGTTTACATGTCGATAATCCTCCATGCTTGTCTGGACAATAAAACCTGTTTTGACAAAATCTTCTTTACTATAAACATTTCAGTCGCAAAGGTGATCTTCTTCAGTACACTTCATTTATCTATGTTCCATGCGACAGAACTGTTATAAATATATTGTCATTGTAATGAAGAAGATTCTGTACATTACATGTAATTTCGTAAAATCGAACAATATGGAGATTATATATTTTCAGGAAAGTCTTTTTTTCTGATTCAGAACATAAATGGTGTATCATATTTATTTTCACTAGTTTGGCCAAAAACTTGAAGTTTGTGTGTGATTTACTCATGTGAATCTAAGTCGAACCAGTTTGCATCTACCCGCCTATGCAATCTGGTATAGGGCCAGAATATACAGGGTGACGGGAAAATGGATGCGGAGCCGGTGGGAGGAGATAGTACAAGCCAATCTCAGTCGATTTTACTACAGGAACTACTGTCCGAAAACTACCCGTTTTCGAATTATAGTAATTTTTAAGACTCTATAAAATTAACGTCCTTTTTACGTTAACCAAGTCATAAAACTTGAAAATTGGGTGTTTCATTGGATTTTTTTTTGTTTTACAATAAAAATATTCTAAAATACGAAAATTGATACACACATGTACATTATTGACGTTATCTCATGCAGTAAGCTTCAAAATAGTTCGATTTTTGTTAAAAAAAATCTTCGGTCATCCCAAAAGCTTCAGTTTACTAGAAAAAGTCGCATACCAATTTTTCGTACATGTGTAGGCCATGGGTTCGGAAACAGTTTCCGAATCTATGGATCGGTAGAGGCGGACCCCCCATGGCCAGCACGCAGTCCCGATATCACACCTATGAACTTTTTTGTGTGGGGTCGCATGAAAAATTTTGTATACTCTGATCAAAATCCTGTACCCACAATAGAAGACCTCAGAAACAGGATAATACATGCAGCACAAGAAGTTCAAGCCTCTCTTAGGAATTCGGCAGTAGTAAAATCAGCTGTCATAAGAAGAGCACATGTATGCATTATAAATAGAGGGCACCATATTGAAAATGTATTATAAAAATAAAAAATGTAGTGTCAAACAAATTATCGTGTAGTAAGGTATAATTTTGTAAGTGTAGTATTTTTATTGCTTTTTCCTTCCTCCTCTTATAATAGTCATATTTTTGCTAATTCTTAATCGATTTGTGATTTTTATACCTCATTTGGAAGGTAATGAAACGTAGATGTTTTCTAAGTATTTTGTACGAAAAATTTGTATGCGACTTTTTCTAGTAAACTGAAGGTTTTGAGATGAACGAAGATTTTTTTAACAAAAATCGAACTATTTTGAAGCTTACTGCATGAGATAACGTCAATAATGTACATTTGCGTATCAGTTTTCGTATTTTAGAATATTTGTATGGTAAAACAAAAAAAATTCAAATGAAACACCCAATTTTCAAGTTTTATGACTTGGTTAACGTATAAAGGACGTTAATTTTATAAAATCTTAAAAATTAGTATAATTCGAAAACGGCTAATTTTCGGACAGTAGTTCCTCTAGTAAAATCGACTCAGATTGGCTTGTACTATCTCTCCCCACCGGCTGGGCAGCTATTTTCCCGTCACCCTCTATATGATTAAGTGACACACACAACCTTTCAACAAAAGTAATAAAAATAAATTTAACAGACCATATTATATATCTGGAATTAGAAAAAAGGGACTATCATTTTTACTGAAAGTATACAGGTGTTCAATTAAAAAATATAACTTTATTCGATAGCACTTCTCTCAGATACCCGGTATACAAAAAAATATTACGTGAAAAACTTTATATTAGACTTATTTGCAACTTTTTCTTCTGGAAAGTCATATAAAAAAGTTAAAGAATTATTCAGATCGGGTATACTAAATCAGCTAAATATTATTTGTTGAATTTTCAGAAAGGTGTTATCTGGACGAGGATGATGACTGTGATGATGTTTCACTGGATGTTAAACCGTCTTTGGAAGAATTAGAAAGGGATTTCCAGCCCCCAATGCAACACATCCAAACTCGTCTCTTGTCAGGACCTCTTGACATGGATGATTTGCCTAGGCCAATAATAGAAACCAAAAAAGAAGGAGATACTGAAGTGGGTGCGGAAGTACATAGAAATAGTAACAGGTAAGTTGATTGAAATCATTGGTTAAAATAGTCTCCAAGATTCTCAACCTTATGGATGTTTACATAAAATTTCCAATTCTTTTTAAAGGAAATTGCTTATTTTCAAATATGACATCAATCTGTCATTCTTGACTCATTTCTTCTGAAATCGAATATGATATCTTAACCAATATTGAAATTTGACAGCTATATCAATTTTGAAATGTTGAATGAATGAGTTTTTATTTCAGTCAACAACAACCATCTGCTACACTGCCTCTGGCGGAGCTGAGCGACAGTGAAGATACATCAAGAAATAGTGAAGCTACTGTTTCAGATTTAAATAACACCGTAACAGTAAAGGCAGAAGTTAAAACTGAAATATGTGGAAATGATATAGCGGCAAGATCTACTTATCGTCAACTCATGTTGACACGAAGGCGGAAAAACATAACAGTGGAAGTAAAACAAGAACAGAGTGATTCAGTGGAAAGTGAAACTGGAAAGAATGAATCTGTGAAGGAGTATCAACAAGAAAATGGAAGGTTGAGTCAAGTACAGTCACAAAATGAAAGCAGTGAAAGTAAGATAAGGTTTCCCGACAAGAATGATCGCCAGGCACTTTTAGAAACACCTAGTGCTACTACTGATGATAAACGTCCTTCAGAAAGTGAAAGTAGTCGGGAAGTTTGTGGAGAGATACAAAGGGATATCGAAGAACAAATACCAGATCTCACTTCTAAGAGATATACTTCAACGTTGAGGCAAATCGACAAAAATATTAATATTGCTCCAGAGGTGGAGCAAGGAAATGAAAATGATGATGTTGGTGATATGCTTGGAAGCTCCTATACAGTGGATAGGAATATATCTACGGAAATGCGCATGCAAACTGTCATCATTGACCAGGTAAGTTGTCTGGTTATTAAATATCATTAATTTTCCAGCTTTACACACCAAGAATTGACAATCTGAGAGAGAAGTATAAAATGAAACTAAAATTAAAACCAATTGGTTTTCAAATGAACTTTAAGATTGTGACAATAAAACCAAAAATAAAAACCTTCATAATACTTTATTATCTTGCGCAGCTGTTTTCAAAAGTTCTGTGAAACCTTTTAAACACACGCGGATTAAAAGTAAACTTAAAGTGTATACTTATAAAGTTTATTTACCTTATTTTTAACATAAACGTTGAATTTAAATGGTTCTTTAAAACTACTTGTATATACTCATATTTCTCATTACTCCAATCATATTAGACGAAAATACCTCTGGTTTGCAAAACAATTGCAAAGTCTGATTTTATTGTTGCAAGTTGTTCAAGGGGGTATTCAAAACTCAGGGGCCTCAAAATTTCTGAAATTTTGCTATTCAACAAAAATACAAAAAAGTGAAAACGCTAAAATCATCAGTTTGACTGAAAGTTAATTTTATCTATAATTTTAATTTTTTTGTTGTTTAAATGCATCGGAACAGTATGATGTAATAAATTGTTTTTACTAATCTCCTTAGTATTATTCATAACTATTTTTTGACACAAACATGTTTTGAATAGCACACCATCTATATTTTCGTAAATTTTTTATTACAGCCCTCAGAAGAAGAAAACTTGCGACCTGCTTCTAGAGAAGAAAACTTGCCAGGCATGGTTCATAGTTCTCAAAAAGGTAGTACTGAATGTTCGAACACAGTGTTGAAACCTGATAATGGGATGGTAGTCAGTGTCTCCGAAAATGAAGCAAATAAGCAAATGAATGATGATTCCAGTTTTGATGTGGACCTTGACATACTGGACAACATCAAGAGAGAAACAAGGGCGGCAGGTAACACTATATCGTCCGTAATTATATATATATATATATATATATATATATATAACTTGAGACGTGGTCATTGTCGTCTAGACCAGTTAGGTTATATATATATATACAGGGTGACTTTGAAGTTGAGTCATTAATTTTCAGATAATGATTGTAGAAGGAAGATAAACCAAAATATGTGTGTAAAAATTAAATGTTACCTGGTTTTATAAAGTATCCTCCCGACAAGTATTTTAGTGCGGACCTGTATTTGATCGTGCGGTCTTGGAGCACCGGCATGCCCTCCCCTGTGAGGTCTTAAGTCACCTGATTCACGAGCCCATTAACAAAGGCACGAGGGGTTGGTTGCACTCGATTGGGAAACCGATCCGCGGCAGCATTTTGTAAAGATACGAATCATGTCCACAAGTTCAGCATTTTCGTAAACATGTGCCATTTTTTATTTCGTTTGAGCCACGCAACAAACACCACTATTCACTCACGCGTTACCGACTTACACATTGACTGAATACAACTGAATACAATTGTAGTAAAAACATCGTTTCAAATTCTTTCGCTTTTTTGTTTCCGATGCGATGAACCGATAAGGCGGATTATATCCGTTGTTGCCAAACACGAGCACATAATATTGTTATTGAGACAGGGCGGTACTCAAACTTCTAAAGGGCTATAACTTTGTTACTTTAATTTTACCACAAAAATGTTAAAGGAAAAAACATTTCTTTTGATCAGATCTACTCACTGTTAAAATAAATGACTCAACTTCGAAGTCACCCTGTATATATACAGTAATGGACAAACGTATATTGACAAATATGAATATTTACTTAAATACCTTTAGAAAACGAATTCATACTTCATTGCTCCATAAACAAATGCGTTATTAGTAGAAAAACTAAATTCCTTGTTTTTACATTATCTGCAGTGAACACAATACAAGTCTGAATATAAGCACTTTTTATGAGGGACAAAAATATGTAGACAAATTCTTTTCAACATTAGTTTATTATAGTTTCGTGTCCGAAGAGGATTAGTTTGTGTTCATCAAGTATTGTGGCATAAGTTGAGTGATTTTAAGACCATGCCGCGTGGTCCAGAAATTTCTTTCGATGTAAAAACTAAGATCATTGAGTTATACAAAGATGGTCAACGTCAAGTCGACATTGCCAAAAATTTGAAACTGAAGCGTAAAGCAGTTTGGGCAATATTGAACAAATATAAACAAAAAGGTATCTTGGAAGCCTCTACGAGAAGTAGTCGGCCTAGAAAACTAAATGCTAGATCAATTATATTAATTTGAAAAGTAAATTCGTCCAAAGATCCGTTTAAAACCTCAAGACAAATAAAGGCCGAAATCGAGACAAAAGGAATTGTCAGTGTGTCTACGAAAACTATAAGTAGAAGATTAAATGATTTGAAGTTATTTACACGTCGCCCAAGTAAGAAGCCGCTAATCTCGAGGAAAAACCGTACGGACCGATTACAATTTGCACGGTTGCATCTTGATTGGAGCATCTGTGACTGGAAGAGGGTATGTTTCAGTGACGAATCCAAGTTCAATATGTTATGATAAGTTTGTATACACATACATACTAAAGCATGTCATGTTACCCTATATGGAAGACAATATGCCCTTAAGATCAATCTTCCAGCAAGATAATGACCCGAAGCACACTTCAAATCTCGCAAAGAAATTCTTTCTGGATGAAAAAATATTAGTTCTCAAATGGCCTTCACAGTCTCGCGATATAAACCCCATTGAAAATCAATGGGAATACTTAGATAAGCAAATGCGAGATAAAAATTATTCAAACAATAATGAACTTTTTGCCGCTTTAGAGCAAAAGTGGAGACAGATTGATGAATCTTATATCAAGCAACTTCTACAATCTATGACGAGACGATGCCAGACGGTGATTGATAATAATGGTTATGCTACAAAATATGAACACAAACATGGTTTGTTTTCTATAATTCAATGAACTTTGCTTCTTTTTTCTATAATTGTTTTGCTTTGTCTATATATTTTTGTCCTTCATAGTTTCAGTTTTTTTCAGTTAATTTTTTATTGAAGGGAGTCTAATGAATTTATTTATGTATTAGTGAGTACTATGCTATAACTAATTACGTATACAGGTTGGTGTATTAATAAAACAAGTTAAAAAAGAAATACAGCACAATATTAATTTATCTATATACTTTTGTCCATTACTGTATATATATATATGTAAAAAGTATACAGGGTGTCCCAGAGGTCAGCGTCAAACCGGAAACGGGGAATAGGCCAAGTTATAATAGTTATGAGAAAAACATTAAAAAAGTACAACGTATACTTTCCAAATTATGGACTTTATGAAAAAATCGGAAAAATGTACACCCTGTTATGATCTTTTAGTTCCCATTACTACAAATTTCAATTTTTTCTTAGATGGATTGACGGACAGTACCGTTCTGCGTACTGATAGCAACACAGATAGTAATGTCACTTTTATTAATTCAAGAATGTATTTATTACATTCACAATAAATGTAATGCAAGCTTGACATATTAAAAAGGATTGGGATATCAGACGGTTCTTCCATTATTAACAAATTCAGCTGTGTCCGTTATTACGTCCCGTAACTCAGCTAAATGTACGATTTTCTTTAAGTAAACTTTTTCCTTCACCGCGTCCCGGTACTTACGTTTCTTTGTTTTTGTTTGTTGGAGATTTATTTTCTGTAATTTTACATTATTGTCTATTAAAATCACATCACTATGTATTTTGAGTTTTCGTAAAGTGATTTTTTAATTTCACCGTAAACATTTTCAAATTGAAACACTGTGTAATATCATTATTCAATTTATTAAATTCAAATAGTCCCTTTATGTGAGCTTGCGTAACAGTAGGTGAACTATTTGATGTAACAGTGATGTGCGTCCGCCTTTAGAAACCAGTCTACTCGGATTTTTATAAATATTATTTATGTTTTTTTAGATGACTTTGATGATGATGCTGATTTTAATGAGGACAACAACGATGATGATGAGTTTTTAAGATTTCTGAAGCATCGAAAGCCTTGGACGTGAAGATATTTTAAATGTAATTATTTGTGTAATTTTAATTTCTATGCAAGTGTATACATATATGTATTATAATATATAGTTTCGCTATAAAATAAGTACAAATAATTTTCCTATAAAAGCATGTTTTCTGGACGTTACATTTTGGTTTCATTGTCATCACCTCTTTACCACTCTCAAATACCTATGAAAATAGCAAAGAAATTCGAACTAGGAGAATGGGATATTTTTCGAACGTACCATTTATTTGTACTTTGTCAACTCTAATGTTGCCAAAATCATATTCTTTATTGGCTGATTCCTCCGGCTGAAAATACAAAGAATTTAAATGAGGCATATTTCCATGTACGAATTTACGTTTAAACTGCATCGTCCTAGAAAATTATATACGAGGTCTGTAAATTAAGTGTTGATACAGGCAACATAGAGTTCTATCTGGCAACAGTGGCTTGGAGAGGAAACAACGGAACATCTGATCCGCCTTCAGTGCAAGTTTGAACTCGCTCGAGTTGCCCGCGCTGTTTTTCCTATTGTGTTCTAAAAATGAGCAATGGTGTACTAGCAGATTTTGCTTCAGTCGGGGGCACAGTGCAATGGAAACTCTTGCTAAACTTCAGCAGGCGTACGGATATAGTGTTTTGTCAAGAGCCCAGGTTTTTCGGTGGTTTAAGACATTTTCAGAAGGAAGGGAGTCGAATGATGAAGATATCGACAGAATCCGGGATCTTGTGCGTTCAGATCGGATGACAGCCTGAAAGAGTTAAATTTGACTCATACCACCGTTCATCAGATCAAGAACAACTGGGTGTTGCATCATGATAATGCTGTTTGTCACAGAGAAATGTCAATAAACGAGTTTTTGGCGGGTAAAAACATTACGGCTCCTCAGCTTCCTTATACGCTTGACTTGACCTTTTCTCTTCAAGTCGGTGAACCTCGGAGTTCCAGCACTGCTATGAGGAGTGGAACAAACGTCTCCAGCGCTGTGTGGTATCAAAAGGAAGTTATTTTGAGGGTGAAAATATAAAATTCTATTATGGTATTAAAAATACGATTTCGTATCGGTGGGTCATAATCTGGAACTGTTTTGCTTGTCCGTCGCAGTATTTTAAAAAACCTCAAGACGCGTAAAGATCTATGTAGACAAAAAGTTGAGCTTGTCTAAACTTCAAATCAAAATTGACGACGTGAAGAATTTTGGAAACGGTAGTGTGGAAATTAAGGTCCACGAAAGTAATCATGCCCAGTTAAAGGAAGAAATTCAGAAAAAATTGCCAGCATCGTACCAGGGTCGCAACCGAAAATGTTTAGACCTAAAATCAAAATCGTGGGCTACCATACAGATGAACGAATTACCGAAGAAGAGATAGTAGAAGACATCACAAGACAGAACCATTTCATAGAAAAAGAAGATATTAAGATAAATTTTATTAAGTATATTGCACAAAACAAAATTTATATTATTTACGCAGAGGTCACAGGTAATTTATTTAAACAGATTTTTGAAGATTATAATGGAAAAAATCTATTAGGATTTCAAAATGTATCTGTATACAAAAATAATTAAGTGTCTCAGTGCACAAATTGTTTCCGATTTAATCATTCTGGAAAAACTGCCAAAATCCTAAAGTCTGTGCTCAGTGTGGAGAAAACCATGACACTTCCTTTTGTAAGCAGCCACATCCGAAATGTTGCAACTGTTTGTATTCAAGACACCAGTATAAGAAATCTTACAGTACCGATCATCTTCCGACAGACAAAAATTGCCCAGTGTATGAATTCTTTCAACAAAGACATCTCTCACGAATTTTATTTTGATCATTATAGAATTATTTAGAATACTCAAAATCTTTTCTAAATTATGTACGATTCAAATACTCTTAATGGCTGGTAGTAAAATGCTTATCGGACACTTGAATGTACGTTCCGTCATGTCTAGTTTTGATGCTATTGTAAATTTAATAGCATTAGAAAATTTTGTGGAATCTATGTTAAATCAAATTTACATGCTGAAAAGATAGATATTCATACAAATTTTGGTGTTTGTTTCGAAAGCATTTTGGTTAAATTGGTTGCGGGTAAGTGTGAACTGTTAGTAGGTGTTTTATACCGACCACCCTCTAAAAACATACAACAATGTGCAGATTTATTAAATGGTTTCCTACCCAGCCTCTCGTTATATCATCATAACATCGTGATATTGGGAGATCTGAATATGAATTTTTTTAATAACAGTATATTCTCACTGAGTTTTGAGCTGATGGGGTTCACACAAATCGTAACGGAAGCCACCCGTGTCACAGATAGTACTGCAACATTAATCGATCCAATATTTTTAAAAAATCCTCAAATATGCAGCTATTCTTCCGTCATGGACACGAATGGTATTTCGGACCACAAACTCGTATTTTTTCATTTTGACATTCCATCTTATAAAAGAAAACAAAAATTTATCACAATCAGGGATTTTAAACATTTCAGTGAGGATGATTTTCTTATCGATCTTTCTACACCGGGCATAGATGAATTATTTCTTATATAGAAGGTAATTCACATTACAAGCGTTATCGTGGAAACCTATAATAAACATGCACCTTTTAAAACTGTAAGAGTTAGTAAGCCACCACCACCTTGGTTGTTATTGTTATTGTTATTATTTTGCGCACAAAGAAAAACATACAATGTAACACAGCTCTTGAACATTCAGTTAAATAACCAAATTTTTCAATTTTCTGATTCTGCAAAAATTCTTGGTGTTGTTTTTGATACAATATTAAGGTTTATTGAACATGTAAAAAGTCTATCTCAGAAAACACACCTACGGCTGCGCACTCTTATAGCAAACAGGTATTTACTAAATTTTAAGTTGCGTAAAAAACTATGTGAAGCATTGGTCATATCTATACTAAATTATTGTAATATCGTATACTATACTTGTTTAGACAATTTCACTAAAAACGTTATTCAAGTTATTCAAAACATTTGTATACGATTTATTTTTGGTTTTTTCGTAAATTTGATCATGTATCAGCGAAATACCCCGTTCTAAACTGGTCAAAAATTGACATGGTCAAGTATCACTATTCAGTTTTTGCTCACAAATTGCTGCTCTCGCCTAAACCTTATTACTTGAAGGAAGAAATTTCATTTAATAATGATGTTCACTGTAGAATTCTCAGAGAAAATAATATTAGAATACCCCTGCATACGTCTACACTTTTTAAACGCAGTTTTTTTTACAATGTTGCTATTATTTATAATGACCTTCCTAAAGTATATAAAGAATTTTCCTTACCTGTCCTTCGACAAAAAGTTAAAACATTATTACTCAACCCTCCAAACATATAATTTACGTAATCATTCATTTCTTTTTTATTCCATCTTTAATTCAGGTTAATAATTTTTTGGTGCATTTGGGTTCGGAAAGTATGCCTTTTCCTCTTTTTTTAAATTTTACTTTCGATGTAATGAACCAAATCTGTTTGTGGATAGTGTACTCTTTTGAACATCTGCTAGAGACTATATGGTTAAGTGTAAGAGTAGCAGCATGCTAAACTTCACCATATAAGTCTGACATTTGGCTATACTACAACGTAATTGTGGATAAATAAAGACGTCTATTATTATTATTATTACCAGCCAATAATCACCATGAAGCAGCTGTGTTGATCCTCTGTTGTTCGGACGTGTGAAGGTAGTATTTATTTATCGTATGGCAATTCAGTCACATTAAAAATAAACAGAATTGAAAAAACATTATAACGAGCATTGAACAGTTATCAATATATTAATATAATCTATCGACTCTAGAGTTGCGAATTAAAAGGGCTCCTGTGGGACACTCCTGAATACTGCGAACAATGGTCTGGTTCTGTCGGCAGTCGCACAAAGGATTTGGTTCAGTTATTTATACTTTATTGCCCGACAAACAGTAATCCGGTTAGTGAGAAATACGTGTATAATAGTAATCTTTGTGTATACAACATAATGCAAACAAAAAAAATACGTCGAGTAAACAACTACTATTACTATCTGGAATTTAAAAAAATTGTACTAATAAAGTCGAAATGGATGTCATAACTGGCTGCTATAGAATAATAATTATTATACAGGGTGACTTCGAAGTTGAGTCATTTATTTTAACAGTGAGTAGATCTGATCAAAATAAATGTTTTTTTCCTTTAACATTTTTGTGGTAAAATTAAAGTAACAAAGTTATAGCCCTTTAGAAGTTTGAGTACCGCCCTGTCTCAATAATAATATTATGTGCTCGTGTTTGGCGACAACGGATATACTCCGCCTTATCGGTTCATCGCATCGGAAACAAAAAAGCGAAAGAATTTGAAACGCTGATCACGATGATTTTATTCAGTCTGTGTCAGTCGGTAACGCGTGAGTGAATAGTGGTGATTGCTGCGTGGCTCAAACGAAATAAAAAATGGCACATATTTATGCGGATCGATTTCCCAATCGAGTGCAACCAACCCCTCGTGCCTTTGTTAATGTAGTACAACGGGCTCGTGAATCAGGTGACTTAAGACCTCACAGAGGACTGCATGCCGGTGCTCCAAGACCTCACGATCAAATACAGGTCCACACTGAAATACTTGTCGGGAGGATACTTTATAAAACAAGGTAAAAAAAAAAAATTAATTTTTTTTTATTTTTACACACATATTTTGGTTCATCTTCCTTCTACAATCACTATCTGAAAATTAATGACTCAACTTCAAAGTCACCCTGTATAAAGAATATAATGACGGATTCAATAATATTGTAACACTCTCGCAACTAGAACTTCATGAGATACCCTCGTACATCGGTGCTTAGGGCCGTATCGTTTGTCGTTCCTACAATTATTGTAGGTCGCCTTTATGGGCTCCTTGATTTTCATAGTTTTCTACTGTTCCGCATCACCGCTCTATTTTGGGGTTAGGTCACAAACATCTATTCGTATAAAATTGTGCATACTTTTAATTTATTTTCAGTAAAATTCGTTGTCAGTCCGGTCTGTATCATTAAGTACTATTTGTTTAATTTTACTTAGGGTTTCGGGTTTGAGGTATTTTAAATTTTCAACGATTTCATCTACTTGTTCTCTAGTGTTATTTCTGTAAAGGGTACTAGTAGGGGTCTTAGGTGTGTTGAATGGAGCTTCTGTGTTTGAAGCGTTATTGTGCACTTGCGCTTTTACTGTTATTGGTCCCTTACTGTTTTGTTGTCTACCGTTTCTGTTTATTAGGTTCTCATTGTGACTTTCTCTATTGTATCCGGTGTTATGTTCAACTATTCTTTTTTTTTGGTGTTTGTGATAGTGCTTGTTGAAAGATCCTTTTT